TACTAAAAAAATTCATATAAAAGTAGCCGCCAGGCATGGAACTTGTTATGGGGGCTGAAAATATAGGAAATGACCCATTCTATCCGCCAAATAATTTTGGCACACGATGCGCCAAACACCCTGTATAATGTAAACAGCTTTAGTTACAGTTGGTATGTACGTCATTGATAGCGACAGGCTGTGAAATGTCCTGATAACGCATATCCTCGATAAGTGCTGAACTTTGACACGCCCTCTATCATCTCTCTTCCGACATTAAATGACTTACTTTGTTTACGATATGACTATCTCAATATTAAATGCCATAACAGAATTCAATGGCTACATAATGTGAGAACGCGAAATTTAANAAACTTTAGATACGATAGCTTTATCGGTGCATTTAATTACTAATTATTTGTTTGCGTGCAATTTAGCGGGAATGTTTGTGACGTTGCTATAGCGACACTATCAGCTACAGTAGACTCTACGAAAATAATGAAAATTTTCTTTAACAGCTACTTTTTCATGTCAAACTTGGAAGGTGCCTATAGTTTATTATATTGGTATTTTAAAAAGTGTAGAGCATAAAAGATATTATGTCTAAAATTTGGACCAGATTCGTATGCAAAATTGACATTTGAATAAATCAAATAATGTGCGTCTGCTCTCATTTCATAATACCAACACGGGGTCAGTGTTGACGTAGTGTTTCCATAATATGGTCTTTTATTTGTTTTAAAACAACCGAAACTGTTTATAAAAGTTGCTTGTATCTTTATAAACGGCTCAGGCCTGAAATAACTGTTGTCCTAAAATGTCAAAGTTTCAAAGACCTACTGTAACCCTGTTTTATGCAAATAAATATATTATTACTAGCTTTCCGCCCGCGGCTTCGCCCGCGTGGAATTTTGTCTGTCACAGAAAAACTTTATCGCGCGCGTCCCTGTTTCAAAAACCGGGATAAAAACTATCCTATGTTCTTTCCCGGGACTCAAACTAATTCTATGCCAAATTTCATCAAAATCGGTTGCGAGGTTTAAGCGGGAAAGCGTAACAGACAGACAGACAGACAGACAGACAGACAGAGTTACTTTCGCATTTATAATATTAGTTGGGATTATTTCTATAATTTATATAAACTGAAAAGCGAAAATTGTACAAAAACTGTCCTTCTTGAAGACAAAAAATTTTTAAATAGTTGACAATTTGAGAAGCTGACATTATGCAAAAGACGTGCTCACATTCTGAATAGCAGAGTCAGACATTTTGCGAAAAATACATTTTAGGGAAACGGATATTTCAGGCCTGAGCCTTATAAACTGTATTTTTAGCCTTTACCTATTCCACTACCTATTAAATTTCCTATTCTACAGATCTGTATCTGATAATGTAATTGCTTCTTAGGTAATTTAGATGTAGTCTCCAAAAACACTTGGATTAATACTTACTTAAATACTTCTTACATAACTCTTGAAATCGTTTAAATGGGCTAACAAGATAACTGTATTAAGAGCATCGAAACAAAAGCCGTCTTATGCCAATAACTGATAACATTGTGCATTATCTGCCAAGCAATAAGAACAAACAATCGTTTGGAATAAGTGTCGCGTTTACTTATCATATGGCATATTAAATAACATTGTTAAGGCGTGGTTAAGGGCTACTAATACTAATAAGCGAGAGAACATAACGTTAAAGCTCAATAGTTATTACTTAAGCGTAGTATTAATAGAGTTGATGAAGAAAACCACAAGTGATTCGTTATTTTTAATAAGAAGGAAATCTTTAGGTATTGTTAGCTAATATACTGACAAAACATCACTATTGTTTAGTTAAATATGAAAGGAAACTCGAAGAGGAAACTGCTATAATAAAATTAAGGGCACACAAACGCTTAGTTTTTTTAACCATAAAAGCAAGTATTTCTCTAACGTGATGTTAAGTATACAGGGTGGAAACGTTAAGTGATCTCACTCGATTATTTCTAAACTATACAAGATATTAATTAACTAGTTACTGGTCCTGAAAGTGATGTTGATGCAGTGAATTTACTTTAATTATAGTTGTGTTTTTAGTTGTAAACGTTATTTTACGCTGAAAATAAAATAAATTCAAATATATGACATCCGCTCTACATAATGAAAGATCTAAAAAGCCACATGTTAACACAAATCACTTTGTATTGACTAACATCAATCAAAACAATAGAATAAACGCCAGGAAGCATCATTCAAGCCGATTGTACGTCGCATCGGCATTTCTGTTCCACTCCGAATCCACAAGAGACGTGGGAATGGTGGCATTCTGGTTTATATCTTTATTTTTTTGAGCCACTCACTTATTGACAATGATTTATTAATGTGGAAGGCGGGCAATGTAACTAGTTTTTTGAAAAATAAGTAGCTTTTAGGTTTCCTGAATGACACAGACTGGTCTTATACCCCAAACTGGACTATAGACATGTAATCGTTAATTATTTGTCAGAGTAATATACCAATCAATGTTTATAGAATATCGTTCTGCGAAAAGGCAACAGCTCTACCCATAGCTAAAGAGGTTAATTTTTCGTTTGAAAGTAAAATGGTTGTTGAAAATTATTTAATCATAAGAACTGATAGAGTTAAGACGAATGATGATATACCAGTTATAAGCAACTAACTAAACCTATTCTTCTATTCCTATCTCAAGTTCAACCAACGACCCGAACATAAAAGCTTATAATACAAACTTAACGATGTCATAATTACATTAAAAGTAAGTAATAGACCATTAACCGCGTTCTAACTTACAATTTCAAAATACAAAGAATCACGAACAAAGTGCGCCGTGGGAGTAATCATGGTCCTTGAGGAGCTNGAGGAGCCGGAGGTCTAGGCCGACTATAATGCTCCCAATCCAGTTGGCCAACTGCATACTTAGGAAGTAAATTGCAGATTACGCAAATTAAGCATTCTGCAGCACGCGAGCACGCTTACGATTGGGAGATAAAGCAAACAACGGCAACAGATTAACTTTAATGTAATGTAAGTATGACTGAAATATGCTTGTAGGAGGACTCTACTTATTTGGAGTTAGAAAATTATTTCAATGCTTCAACGATTATGATTTTATAGAATACCCATGTTGGTCTTACTGTGGGCTGAATAGTTTTCCTTTCGATAAACCGAATCACCGATAAATTAGATACCTTTTTAACAAATGACAAATGTTGCTCATAACAAATAAGTAGTCATACTATACAGTCAGTTACTGTTACAGCTATGATTTTGTATCGAAAACGATCCAAGTCGTTTCCACATCAATATTGATTCCACACATTTATCGAACCTAACATTTACTGCTGCTAGCTTTTGTATTTTTTTGGTTTGAGTTATTTTTTTAATCGTGTGAAAGTCGCCAGACTACATGACATAATAATTTACCTGACTAGGCACCTCGCAGAAACCTATTTGTGATGATTTGAAATGTCATTTCGTTGACTTTCTAAGGCCCGGTTTTTTGATTCGTAGTTAAAATAACCAATGGTCAAATTTGACAGATGTCAAATGACAAGTGGTTAAATATTAGAAAAAAATGTTTTTCGAACAATGGTTAGCTCGACTTTTAATACATTTTTTAACTATTACTTAACCATTTGTTAATATTTAACCATTAGTAGCAAAATTTAACAATTTGTTATTTTAACTATGAATCAAAAAACTGGGCCTAAGAATAGAATAAGTTAGTTACGTTACGTGTTGGGTAACGCAGTGGTGGTTGATGCAAGCGCGCCCGTGAGTGACCCCGTGTGTTAAGTCACACAGTGGTAAAAATTACAAGAAAACTAAGACAATGGCTTACAGAACACAATATTATAGTCATTAAAACTATAAGATAAGAAATCTACCAACAAATCTATTTTCATACACCTACTGTTTACTCTATCCATTCTGTTACCTTGATCCTATGATTAACAGACATAAAAATATAAACCGATATATTGCAACCGTTTATAGCTTAATAGAGACATAAGAAAATTTAAAACCAATAATAAAGCACTCATTTATAGTTAAAGACAACACTTAATTATGGACACATGATTTATCTGACTATAAAGAATAATTAATATCTGTATTGTCATATTTGAAAGCCTGTACCTATATGTATGTAACCTTTGATTATTAAATGAATTTTAATGTAATGTAGGTACAACTCAATTTCCGAAATACCTACCTACTCGTTATTTTAAAAATCGACATATTTAAAGATTATTTAGGTGGGTACTTGTTTTTGAAGATTAAACCTATGAAATTAAATTAAAGAGCAATGATTATCATTACAAAAATATTTATTCCATGACAAGTTTGAAAGTCGCAGTATCGATGCGTAAAACAAATAAACATATTTTGCCATAGATATTCGTTACTCAGAGCAAATAAAGATTCGGTAATGAATATTAATCATAACAATTAATGGATGGAACACGATAACAGTTATCAATGCGTTTATTCATACACAACTCGTGTAATGCGGCATTATTATTTTAAACGCCATTTTTTAATCAGTTTTTGGAGCTTCGAATATAAATATTTAAACACACCACAACACTACTTTAACCGCAATCATAAGCCTAACCAGATAAATACGGACGTATCTCGAATTCATGTATGAACGAAGATAAGCAAATATAAATGTATTATTGATGTTATAAGTATTTACTACATTTTCTAAATAGTACGAAACATTACCGATCAATATGAGTAGGAATAAAGATTTATCATAGAGACCATAATAATTAAATATATGATATAGTTTTCTACGCTCTATANACGTCCCACATACGCCTATTAATCAGGAATTAAGGACTCGACACATTACTAATTGAGAACCAACTAAGAAAAGTGGACTGTATTACGAAGTTAAACTATTTACTGTCAAACTATATAAACGAAATAAAACACGATACAAATTGAAACAAAACGAAAACTATTTACAACTATTTAAGTTTCTATTCGGGGCCGTCCGTCGTGCACACTTACCAATGCCAATGCGCTCTCCGGGTACCATTTGCAAGGGCGTAGGAATATGGTCAGGAGCTCATCGTCGTCTCCAAAGTACAGGTCTTTGTTGTCCTTCAGCAGTTCCCTCAGTCTCTCCAGGGCCTCCCGAACCCTCTCTGGAGTCTCTCTCAGCTCTCTCTCAGCCACCTCCTTCAGCACGGGCGTGAGCTCAATGCCCCTTTCTATCTTCAAACCACTCCGGGAACTCATCTTTGTTCACGAGACCTGCAAAAAAAGATCATTTAGCTGATGCACATGTCATAGCTGCTGACGAATGTCTAATAATAATATGCACAAACAAAAAAATTTTTTGTTACTTTTGGAAAAACAAAATTGTTATTAACGCAAAATTAAATGTCCTGTCTACCTTGCTCAAGTGCAAACCAGTGTCTAAATCGATTTTGTACTTGACATTGACTCTACATATTATTATTACGACAAATACCCGTACTTTTTGAAAAATAAAACTCTTAACTACGGAGTTCTAGTTTACAATTTCAATCGGCATATTCTCGACCTATAAAGCAATTATGTCATCTACAGATACAAGTACCGAAACGTTTGCAACACGAGCCCACACTTCCAATAAATACTAAGTAAGCTCTCATTACATAAGTCGTGTAATTGGCGGGCGACTGTTGCAAGCGTTGCAGCACCATCAATGATATTGAAGGGGGAACGTAGGTAGCAACAAGGTACCTAACTAAATATAACTAAATATTCCTTTCTATCTATCGGGGGTTATCAAAGGGCGCTCGGAAAGTACTTATCGGGACAGCATGTCGTAAGTGACTTGTAAACTGACGATAAATCTGGACTTCCTTATGTTCAGAGTATCACGTTTCCTACTGACTGTCAGTAGAGGCAGCCATGGCACCGGCCGCAACGCAAGGACTTGTTGTGGATTCCTCGCACGTCTGAGCGCGGCGAATGAACGTTTAAAAACAAATAATTCTTAGCAATGCTAATATGATTCTAATTGTTATACTTAATATAAGTTAATAATTGCATAATCGAGGTTAAATGATGAATCTTATTTTGTTGTATTGAAGCTATATTTTGAAAACTATGCGAAACATGCTAAAGATTTGTGAAATTGACCTTGCCAAAACATTTCTAAAAATAGAGAGATTTGTTTGGAAGAATGACATGCACGTATGTTTTTAAGATAAATCAATCTCATCTTTTGAAACCAGACGATGTTATCTTACTTGTTAATTCTAGATCAACTTATCTATGCCTAAGTCGATGCCTTCAATATGTTGCACCGAGAAGTGAATTGAAATAAATTGTTAGCATTAGCAAAGGTGTATTTGTTTTATGTAGTTATCTGCGTTCACTCAACCTCAGCACGAGGCGTGATCGTGCTTCTATTGATCTAAATAAAATATGCCTAATTGCGTTTAGAAAAATTGCATTGATGATTATGAAATACGTACTATTGCTACGACAGCAAACTTTATCATAGATTCACAAAAAAATTAAAATGTTCTTAGTTTAGGCCGAAAATATTTTGTCATGCGGGCAATTTTTTTATGTACTGCTGTAATTTACGACTTCGTAACTAAAAGTATTTTTATATTTTTTGTCATATAAAACTTTATTGGACATAATAATATATTGAGCACAAAATGCGGATTTCATTCCATATGGATTCAGAGAACTTCTATGAAATACCTATCAATAATAATAGTAATTGATAAAAATTATCTTATAAATCGCATTTACAATAACACGAATTTAATATACTAACTACTTTGATCTATAGCGAAAAATAACGTAAAAATTAAAATATAACTAATAATAAAAAAATATGTATTTTTGATCCTGTCTATGCCAAGATTAACAGAGATTAAAATAATTGAATCGAATATCGAAATCGCTTTCCAGAGTAGGGGTTCAGGATTCACCCAGTTCCCTACATTAGGATGCCAGCCTAGACCTCTCCTTTTATGGGTCCGTGTCCAATAAAGGAGTCAAGCTACATGTCACGGTTACATTACTAATGGAACCAAAATGTATTTTAAATAAAATAAGTGTGCTTGCACATGGTGTCAATAAAATTAAACGCAAATGTTTAAGTCTATAGGAAATTAATCTACGTGTAAAACAATTACGAGCTAAATTCTAATAACTTTACTTTTGGACTCCAATACTTCTATAGTACAAAAGAAAATTAAACTCTTTCGAGACATTCCCTTTCTACCCTGGGAATAGGTCCCGGAGTGTTTTAGGTAAATTGTTAATCTATTCTTTTAACAAACTTAAATCAACACGAGTGTAGAGTCGCTCGTTAATATTCGTTAAGTGATATTATCTATTATGCTTCAAATGTCCCAAAAACCCCTCAAAAGCAATATTGATTTTATTAGAACAAAAAAAATAAACAGACCGTCTCCGTGTAAAGCGAAAGTACCTACCACATACTTATTTACTGAAATAATTTACTTATCTGCATTTAATTATCTGCTTGCAACTTCAATCAATATTTTTTTCAAACATTTTTTAAAACTGTTTTTTTTTTATTTATTTTATTCGCTAAAATGCTTTATCTTTCTTTCTCATGCACATTAAGTAATGCAACTACAGTCATTCCTTACCAGAATATTCAGAGTTTGCTCGATATTTCAATAACGGCGTAAATGCGACGTATTTAATTTAGCAATTAAATTGCCGATTGCCGAACGTTAATTGCGGACACATGCACACTAAACAATAAGTACAACACACGACACAGTCGATCGCGAACTAGTTATTTCGCTCCAGTTGTAGGCACTAACGAAAATAAAATTATGATAAATTGTGAAATTCATGCGCTAACCTCACTCGCGTTGTGGAAACTCACACGCCGGTGAAAATGGCAAAGGGCGGGAAATCAATCGTGCGGCGGTGAGAGGCGCAGACGAGTGTGCGCGCGCGCATTGCCCCGCCGGTTTTATACACTCGATAACGCGTTTGCTTTGTCCCTAGCGCCGCTCGACAAAGATCGCTAAGGGTTGGACTTGAAGCGCAGACAAAAACATTGTTATCTATTTGAACAGTCGTTAGCGGAGCTCAAGGAATACCTAACTTGATCGAGGTTATNGAGGTTATTCGACATTTTAACTATAAATAAAAATAAAATATAATGAAAACACTCACCAAGTGGGTAATGAAGGCACCACGACAGCGATATGACTCATTCTTGTAAGGACCCAGTTCGGTCATAAAGACTTTACCCTGTAAAGTAAAGGATATTCATCTCTACATTTGTAAAGTGTTTAAATAAGTAGCTATTCGAAAAAATGCATCGTGTTCATTATTAAAAACAAGCAATTAAATGATTAATAACTTACTTTTAAGTTGTAGCCATGAATCCGATTGTTACCTACCTATCGGGACTTTGAAATGTGACATTTCTGTGAATATTTTGACAAAATCACGCTTTACTTATTACATGCACGTTGTTAAGTAATTGCCCCACTTTGAGATCTCTTCTGGTATTTGCTTACCACAATTGTTGCTCTGCCGTGCCTACACTTGGCCACAAGTAGCCACCACACCACTAATCGCGGCCACAAGTTGTTAATTTAAGCCACAAAACGGCTGACACTTAACGGGTTTAAGTAGCAGACAGATTTTTGCCGATCCCGTGCGACATTTTAGTCTAAAGAAAACTTTTGTATTTGGAGTTCCAACACTAAACACTAAAATCATAAGCATTTTCCAAGAAATCCATTTTCTGCTCCTTGCTTAAATCCTACACTTATGCCATCCCCAGCTACCCTACCCTCTACTCGTTTACCTATGTCTATATTATCGATTTCGTATGCGAATGAAATTCGAATGCTTCCAAAATACTCCTCCTTAGCTCCACACATCAAAGTCAATGTATCGTAAATGCTATCCAACTAAAAAAAAGGTTAAGGCAGGAGTATATCCAGTGAAACTGGTGAGGGCTCTTGTAAAACAGCATCGTAGGTACAGACCACAGCGAATCAGACTATACATAATAGCACTTATTGCAAAGATATAAGATGCTACAGTGTTTACTTTGACGTGCTGTCAACTGTACAAGGACACTAGTACAAAGAGTCATCCAACGTAGCGAAACTATATGAGTTTCTTTGACCCTTGAAAAGCCTGTTGATATCAAAGAAAAAATAAAAATCGCGCGCCACAGTTAAAACCTTGCTAGATATAATCTTGCTACATCTTTGTGGAATCTCTTACCTACCTAGGGTAAACTTCTAGTCATTGCACACTTAAGCGTTGAGTTATTTATTGGACAGATCTTTATTGCATTAAAATAGTATTTCTATCATACACAACTAAGATATTGCGACTGATGGAGATAAAAGGATGAGATGTTGCATTTTGCATTTAGAGTAATATTCATTATGGACGTTGGGTTCAAGGGGTGTTTTGTCCAATAACCGGTAGAGTCCGATGACTGGAAGTTTACCCCATACATATATCAGATAAAAAATACAGCTCAGCGCTCATTAAGCCAGGATCAAATTAAGTACAGCAGACTACAAAGCAGAACCTTTTGTTGTTAAAAAAATCAATTAGCCAAATCGCTGTACGTGCTTTACTTTAAAATTAAAAGTTTTTAATCTTTGTTCCTTAGTGGTGATTGCTGGCTATTGGCCAAGTCATATTTTTCTTGACACAAATTATTTTTATAACACATAAGTTACGTATAAATTAGTCATCCATTGTTTTTAAAGGAAACGGGAACAAAGTACACAGTAACACAGTTCAAACGATGATGAGATAACAAATATTGACTATTGTTATTGATGATAGTTCAGTATATATTGAATTATACTATTTCTTATGATGTTATAACTAATTATTACTACTCGGAATTAGTAAATGTTATCTATCATTTAGTACAGTTAATTAGATGACTAAGTACACGGATTGTGTTTATCAATAAAATATGGCCCATCGTCACCATTGTATGTGCGTTCACTTTCATCTGTTAACGTATACGTTACAAAAATATAAAAAAAAANAAAAAAATCAATAAGACATTTATATACACGTATAATTTTGTGTTTTGTTTGCAAAAAATATAAGCGTTTGTTTTTTTTTTTATTAAATTTGCACAATGACGACTTTTACGAGTATACTTGAGAAAACAAGGCTTTAAAAAAATGGCAAAATTTTAATATTCATGAATTTTTAACTGAAGGTTGCAGCTATTTACCGTGTTCGTACTGTCCTTGGGTACATTTTACACAGAAGCTATGCATAAACTAGGAGTTATGATTCCCGAATGGTACACTGAATGCGGGCAGAGCAGTTCGGTCGGTTGTGGAGATCTGTGGGGGAAGCCTTTGCCCAGCAGTGGACAGCATTAAGTTGAAACTATTTATTCCAAGTTTGGTTTTACATTTTTTTTAATTTTGCTGACATTTAATTTATTTAATTTTACTTAACTTTTTGACATTTTGTAAAATTAACACTGTATTTATTTGACATTTGAAATTACTGTACTACATAATTAATTTTTAGTCTGCATTCTGTATTCATTTTTGAGGAAACTGCTGATTTCTGTCCTATTTTTTGTGCGATTATTTGTCTGTGTATCATAATTTTAACAAAATAAATTAAATTGTTTGTTTCCCTAATAAGTATAAATAAATAAATAAAGTCGCGTCAGCCCCTCGTACTAAGTTAAATATGCTTGTGTTACAACTGTTACAGGTGGGCTTACCACAAGGTGGAGCGGAGCGGAGAAATTTTTGGAATAACCAATCAGATTTCAGATTTACTGAAATTGACAGAATGAAATCTGATTGGTTATTCAAAACATTTCTCCGTTCAGCTCTGCCTTGGTGGAAACCGGACTTCAACTAAAGTTCTGGATATAAGTGTCCAGAAAAGAATTTATATTATTACATCATATTTCTTCAGTGTTGAGCAATCATATGGGAAGCCAATCGTGACTCAAAAAGTCCGACACCCGGGTTGCGACCTGCTGTTTTTCTACTCACAACTACAGAAACATAATGATTAGTAAAAATAATAATGAGTAATGGTTGTGTCGGTAGGTAGATACTTTTCAAAACGGAAAACACAAACTTTTAATGTTTCTAAAAACATAATTTTACTTGGTGTAAAGGTCACTTTGTGTCTAGTCTAGCCATGCATCCTATGACCTTCAAAGCCTACCTGAGCATCGAACCCAATACCTCCAAGTTCCAAAAGTCATCCTAAAACTATTTATAAGCTGTTTTATGGCATTTTATATTTCATTGGCAGCCTAAAAAAGATGTTACTTAAATATGTATGTACTTCAAACTGTGTAAAAGTAGGTTATAAAATATGTATAATGACGTATTTTTCAAAATATACACACAAATAGGTATAAGAACTAGTCATAAAAAGTAAAAAAACTACTTTTTATGACTACCTGCTTACAGACGTAACAAATTATTACGTATGTAACTTTAAAATTTTACTATTGACGCAAACAAAATGGCGAGTTACCTTCATTGTTTATTTAGCGTGTCAAAATTTGAATATAATACATTACAAATGAGTAAGGTTTACACCGCCTCGTCGCCCGCAGCGGATGGGATCGCGTCGTCATCTTCAGAGTTGCCCTCGTCGTCGCTGCTTCCTTCCTGAGACAAACATTAAAGATACATTTAAATAACACATTCGTTATATAAGATTTTAAACTTTCGCGTTCCATTTCAATTAAAATAGTTAGACACGGGTCTTAACGCGACGTTTATTAATGAGTTACATTCCAAGGTTACATTATGTACTCACGGCTTGACGTTTCGGTTGCGATGCTGCAGCCGTGGTCACAAGCAGATTGTCTGCGTTAAGACCCGTGTCTTACTATTTTAACACATTCGTTTTCGGAAAGAAGAGATACATCTTTTAATCAACAATAGACTAATGGTATAAGCGACAATAGCCGAACGGTGAAGGTGTCGGACTGGCCGACTCGAGATATCGGCTCGAAACACGCCGCCACTGCACTATTCAAATTCAAATAGTTTATTCAGTACATATGCCCTTTCCAGGGCACTTATACAGTATACACGTCTCAAATATAGCTTGCCCTACCACCACTTCGGGACAACATTATACAGGGTGTTAGGTAAATGGGTATAATATGAGCCGACACTAGCCCATGTTAACATATGCATATGTCACCGTAAAATTGTGAATTCTGTCAGATTATAATCTGACGTAGTTAAATTACAATCTAACCTAACCTAACCCACTGTTAGTTTAGAATCTAACGCGTTATATTATAAACTGACAGAGTTCACAATTTGACGTTGACACATATAAATGGTATGGTGAAGTTAGAAAATTGATATCATCATTTTAATTATTTTAATTTTCATACAAATCTGATTTTATAAATTTTATTTTGTATGAACATTTAAAAAATTAAAATGATGATATCAAATTTCTGACTTCACTATACCATTTATATGCATAATGTTAACATGGGCTAATATCGGCTCATATACCCATTTACCTAACACCCTGTATGTTGAGGTAAACCCACTCGTAACACAAGTATGTAGTTACAGTGTTATTTATACAGTTTTTGTGAAACACTTTAAATTAAGACTATTGAACGACAGTTCAACTTCAATTCGTATATTGACTCACATACTTTTACAGTTTGCTCGTACAAAATAGCGAGAAACTATTCCACTCTCTCTCAAAAAAAAAACCTATTAAAGAAAGTCAACATCTACATTTATCTCTAATTAGGTATCTGGTAATAAACTACCAGACTAAAAAAAAAAAAACTTCAGTTCGTGAAGGAAGAAGTATATTCTTCCTCTCTCCTCCCTCTTATTTACCTCTAACTTGAAGTCAGCGTTGTGCGAAGACAGCAGCGTCTGCTTGACGTATCTGAATATGAGGTCTCGGCAGTGCTGGTCCGCGTTGGGAGGCAGCCAGCCGCGCGTCTGGTGGCACAGGTAGCCTGGCGCCGGCTCCGCTGCCAACATCTCTACTGGCAGCTTTACGACACAGTACTGAAGTAATATTCACCTCTAACTTGAAGTCAGCGTTGTGCGAAGACAGCAGCGTCTGCTTGACGTATCTGAATATGAGGTCGCGGCAGTGCTGGTCCGCGTTGGGAGGCAGCCAGCCGCGCGTCTGGTGGCAGAGGTAGCCTGGCGCCGGCTCCGCTGCTAACATATCTTCTACTTCTGGAAGTTTTATGTCGCAGTACTGAAAAATAACATCATTTCTGTTAATGAATGTAAGCAGTACGTAAGCTTCTTAAAGGAACGCTTGTGATCTTCTAGGTCAGGGGTCTCCAAACTTTGAAGTTTTGGCCATAATAATTTTTTTCGGTATGTTACACGGGCCTTAACAATTTTAGTTTTTCTGCCCACCTATGCAAACATAGGCTTAATCTTAAGCTGTCACGGGCCGAATCGGTGGCAGTTGCGAGGTGGATATGGCCCGCGGGCCGTAGTTTGGAGACCCCTGTTCTAGGTCCAACGAGGCGTGCGTGTACGCTGGTCGAGATGCGGTCACAATACGCGAGCTCATTCAGTCTTTCTTCAGTCGGTTATTAGAGAAATGTGGCTGGCCTAATGCTACTTTAACTTTCATTACTATAGATAAAGTCCATTGTATATTACAGTATATTAATCAACCTTTTAATCAGTTAGACAGTTCCAAGAATGTTGTCTAACTTAATCTGGCATGTAGTGTAAGGGGGCCAAATAATGGTCTGGAAACAATACAGTTTTGAAATGATAAAAAAAAACAGCAGTTTAGTTTGAGGGTTACTACTATTTTCAATATCAAAACTCTTAGTAATCAATTGAAATAGAAATCAATGCAGTACATACCTGATAATAAACTTGTCTTTGTGTGGGCACCAGGCCTGGCTTAAACATTACTGCTGCTTCAGGAACTTCCTTATAATCCTCCGAATATCTCGTTCCCTGGTTTTCGTGGACTATTTTCTTGTAATGATACTCTCCCCTTGTTGTAACCATAGAGCTGATGCCAGCTAAAACAAGAAAAATCTTAAGTTCCTTGGAGTAGCCAAGTTTAAAAAAAATGAAACAAAACTGTCTGCAATTTAAGTTTAATTTAGATTTATTAGAAATAACTTAGAGCTTTACAATCGCCTTATTAAAATAAAATAATAATTATAAGTGTATAAGTACTAAATTTTTATTCAATAAAATTCATAACTACCCAAGCTCCTGACTCGAAAATCTAAGGTCTGGTAAATTCTAGAAGCTGGATCTTTTCGAGGGTCATATCCAAATCTCAGCCAAACCATTTTCCACGGCCCTTTCCTAAGGTAGATTGCAAGACACGGCAGAATCAACTTTAATGATGTGGATCTGATTTTGGTCACATACTTGATCAAGTTGAAAGACCAGACTGGTCTCTCATCAAACAACTGCAATAAAAAAAACAGTAAACAAAAGCATTTATAAAGATAGGCCAGAAGAAACAAAAGACAAATACTGGCAAACAAAAATATCAATAAGTGAAACTTTTCATCATCATTTCAGCCACAGGACATCCACTGTCATTAAATAGAGGTACTACATATTCTTGGATGAAAAGCAATATAACCTTTTTCACAGCTTCATACTCCTCTTCAAGCTGTGGGTACTGAACAAGCCTTGCATCTTTCTGTTTGACGTTTGCCTCATGAGGTTCTGTAGGCAGTTCATTTGTTAGACTGAAGACATAAGAGCTAAACTGTCCCTTTCTCTCTTGCCGTGTCCTATTGTGAACATTGTCGTCTGCATCCACTGTGTCTGTCTTATCAGAGTAATATCTCTTATCTGTATAACCGTAGCTGTTAGGCTTATCAGTTCTTGTAAAATACGCTGGCAAGATGAATAAGGGACTTGATTGACTGAAAAAGTTATGTAAATGATTAATTACNTATTACGTGTGTAACTTTAAAATTTTACTATTGACGCAAACAAAATGGCGAGTTACCTTCATTGTTTATTTAGCGTGTCAAAATTTGAGTATCAGGGTGTCCACTGCAAATGTTCGAAAAAATTCCCTGACTTTTCCCTGACTTTCCCTGACAATTTTTTCAAAATTCCCTGACCAACTATGTATACAACGTGTCCCAAAATTCAAGGATAAGCCGACGCCACAGGATGGACATAGTCATGACTACTTTAGGAAAAATAAGGAAAAAAAACTATCTCAATTATTTTTTAACTTACACAATAAATTATGAGATTCAACGAAAATTGACACCCCTTATGATATTTTATATTACCACGACCACAATTTTTCAATTATTCCTGGTCTTCTGTTTACATCGGCAACTTAACCCATTATAGACTGAGTTTTCTTAAAGTGTCAGATTTTTGTTTTTTTGAAATATGTTCATAATTAAGGTCTACATAATGCTATACAAGCATTAAAAAAATGATCCGACCTGTAATCTAGAAAAAAAATGCTGGTACCATATGGTACCGCTAGCCTCTTACCGTGTCAGTCTGTTAAAACATAACTTTAACATGGGCTTTATAAAAATAGGGTTAATTATATATTTTATTATTATTATTATATGTATTAATATACAAGCAAACACCAGAAGTGATATTAAATGTAAAAAAAACTGTATATTGGGTAAGGAATATTCATTTTTATCTTTGAATATTCAAAAATTTGGAATGGAGCTTGGCATTGCACACTGCACTTAGCCCCATGTAACATTTCCTATACTCTAATATTGTTCGAGAGTTGCAATTATCTCANTAAAAATTTCTGACGTGATGGATTTTTTTTATTATTTTTCTCGTAATCAGCACATCAGAAACTATAGAAAACGTTGCTCAGATTTCAAAGGGGAAAACCATTGCAGACCTGTGTTATTACATAAGACTAAATAATTATGGTTCAAAAAACATTGAAGGTAGAATCAAGCTTATTAAATATAATGAACTTACTGTAGAAAATCAAAAGAATCAAGCCCTGATGGAATTATATTCTCCCTATGACATACCATGCCACCCTGTCCATCACTGTGTGCTGGCATGTATTGGAAGTCACACATATCTAAAAAAACATTCATGTTCGTTGTGTTAGTGACATTTTTAAAAAGATTGTAGTCATAGATTGTAATTTACAAAATTTCTGAAATAATGATGTTTATGAAATTCTGTGTATTGTTACAATGATTCTTTTAAAATACATACTTTCAAATTTATAAATACTGCTCACTCGGCCCACTATAGTAGTCGAGAGAACTTCTTTTTTTATTTCTTCTCCACTTTTGGTCTTCTTGACTCGTACTTTTAGAAGTATACCAGCTGTTTTGCGGCATTCACCAAATATTCGCTTCACGAAAGGATTTTCCGGTTGGTAACTGAGTCCTAATCGTTTTTTGGCAGTTTGTGAGTAGATCTGCAAATAAATGCATTATATTTTATGTAAATACATCAGATTAATTAATGTAATTTAGGAAATACATAGGTTACAAACTACAAACTTGCCTGCGAAATCGTTCTAATTCCCCCCAAACATTCTATGGCTCTTGCATCATTTTTTACCACTCCAGGGAACAGCACACAAGTTAACTTTCGTTCTTGATCATTTATTTCAGCCATTATTTATAAATAAGGTATTTAATATTTTATCACAATTCAAACAACAAACAACACATGTTCTTTGTTTTGACNTTTGTGACCTTTGACCTTAAAGTCAAAGTCAAAAGTCAAAGTCAAGTATTTACAAACTTAGTCAATATACAAGTATTTACAAACTTACAGCTGGGTATCTCTAATTCCGAGATTCTTACCTAATTTAAGCTTAAATGACTAGTTTATAAACATAGCTCTAACGTAAATGTAGTCAAACATAATATCGCCTCCCAAAAGATACTGCGTTATCTAACTAACAGATGCAGGACTGGAAGGCATATTGTATGTACACAACAGATCTAAGACGGTCGCTATGATTCTAGGAATTAGTGTTACGAATCGTCGCACGTATCCGATTCCAACTCGAGCATACATTGTCCTGTAGCGGCATCTTTGCTTGAATTATTTGTTTTAAGATTGAATCGGGATTTATTTGAGCGTCAATAGTCAATACTCAAAGATATAGACTGGACCTTGGAGAAGGATGTCGGCTGTTCTGTCTAAACTCATCGACAGTAGCGGAGTAAGGCTATCCGGGGGTGACAACAGTCGCGCAGATGGAGAGGAGGGAGGTGCGATTGGTATCTTATAGCTCATTCGTACTAACTTCTTTTATCTTCGAATCGGTAACCCAAAAATCCTGGAGAGCACCATTCTGGGGTGCCTTAGCCCCCCGCTATATGTATGTTATACCCAACTTGAATTATATGACGGGAGGGATCGCCCCGATCGATCGATGTTACGCCGCCAATGCTCATCGATAAGATTTTATCACGGCGCGTATGGTCGCGAAGGAATGAAATAGGAGATGGATTTTTAAACACTGTAAAACCCTGGTTTTCCTAAATAAATAAATTTCCTCGTTGTGACGTCACTCACCATTCCCGCAGTACTTGAGGAAGACGGCCAGGTGCTCCAGGCACCGCACGATCGCGTCGTAGGCCTGCCGGTCGTGGTCCGGCAGCGCCTGGATGCACGGCGGGTGGTAGGGCTGCGCTGGCGGCGTGTACCCCGCTAGTTGGAGCAGCGCCGTGTTTACCACCAACTCCTCCGCTTCCACCTGGATCACAGTCTGTTGGGGACGAACAGGTCAATCAGTGGCTGAAGGTCGTCAGTAGGCGATACAAGCAACGTAAATTTCCTTACATGGGCCCGGGGGGGCGGGGCTTCAAGGGGAAGGCAGCTGCCCCCCCCCCCCCCCCCTGGTAAATCAAACTCTCTNTGACTAGTATTAGCCAGAAGCAGGGTATTACGACTTGCCAGAACTGGGTACGCCCATGTTCCCTTACAATTAATTGTAATAAATGTATCTTTCTTTCTTTCAATGTGTAAGTAAAGTAATAGCGTGACTCAGTTTCCTGTTTATAGTGTGATGCCGTGACGGTAATCAAAAGTTGGTGCAGCCTCTTGTACGGAAGATGGTGGCTTATGCCTAAACTCGCTTACTGACCAAAATCAAATAATGAGTAATCAGTACACGAACTTTGTTAATCTTAAACATGAATAGAAGTTATCGACTTTATGCATACTATGCATAGGCCACGTCTGAATTCGCAACCGCGGGCAAAAGTTGTTGTTTGCTATTATTACACATTAACATTCGAATAATATCAATCATGGCCTTTTCCAGCTAAAGAGCCGCTCAGCTGAGGATAGATAAGACTAAAGGGGCTAAGGGGATAAAAAGCCACAAATTAACATGGAAAAAGCCACAGGTTACCGTTCTCTGCTGTAGTATAGTATTATGTATTTTAATTCTGTCAGATTAAAGCCTACCTGGAAAGTTCTTGAGTGGCGACCACGAGCTGGAAGACATAGCGTGGGCAGGCCTCCCACTAGTTGGACCGACGATCTGGTGAAGGTCGCGGGAGGTGCCTGGATGCGAGCGGTGCAGGACCGGTCTTCGTGGAAATCCTTGAGAGAGGCTTTTGTCCAGCAGTGTACGTATTTCGGCTGAAACAAACGAACGAACGAAAACCTACCTGGTCGAAAGGGCATTGTTTCCTGTGCAGGTGCTTGAGGCAATGCCTGCACAGGGTGTGCCCGCAGCCGAGGCTGATGGGGCTACGGGGAGGCGCGCCGAACTCGCGGCAGCACACCGGACAGTTGAGGTAGTCCGTCCACTGCGGCGCCTGTATTGGCATTCTGAAACAAAAATATACTCTACTACATCTGGCACACGATTCATATTCAAACAACAGACATAAGCATCCTCTGCCCCTAAAAGCAGGGTAGATAAATCGCTTATTTGCATACACTTGCAGCAAGTATCGCTACACCAATCGCAGGGGCGTAGCTACACTAGCTACCGCCGTATCTTTGATACGGGGCTCCCTGAATACAGGGGTATTCCGGGGGCCCCGTATCACAACCGTATCATCATCGGGCCCCTGCCCCAGTGCCAGTCTTTTTCGAACAGAGTAGGCGTCTGCCTAGGTAGTTCTATAATTTTGCAATTACGTTTTTAAGATGATGATCTAAATCAGTGTTTTTTAAACTGTGATCCGCGAGCATATGTATGGGGGTCCGCAGCGCAGCCTTATCTATGAACCATTTAAAGTAAAAGTCTCGTAATTGAAATTTATTGCTGCTTTCTTTATTAAGGGGTCCTTAAAATTGTGCTTGATTTCCTAAGGAGTCCGTAGACAAAAAAGGTTAAGAAACGCTGATCTAAATGATTTTTTTATGGGGCTCCAAACGTAAACTACATCATCTTTGTGTGCCACAAGACCCTCAAGACAATGTAACATTCGTACAAAGTTTCTATTGTGCCTAACTTGCAGTCGTCTTGATCACGAAATTAAATCGATACAAAATATCACCATTGTCTTCAGGTACGTACAAGAGCATCTAAAACAAAAACAACAGATTAGGCCGATAACACGCATTTGTTTCGGAAGAATAAGCGTCGCTCCTGCGCGCAGCTGCGTCACTGGTCTGAGTGGAAGATTTTCACTTTTTTTTTAGTCTATGAGACCTTTCTGTGATCAGATTGGGATTTTTAGGTAACCTGTACCTGTACAACATGCACTGACTTTGTACTATCCGTTCGCGATAAGTTTGCCGCTGGCGATATGACGTTACTCAAAGGAATGCGTCTATAACTTTACCAAACTATATTGAAAATATTTTTTATTTATTAAAATTGTGTATTTGCGTAAAATAAAACACTTAATTGCATTTCATCACTAACTAATTGCGTTTAATCGCGGTTGGAGGAGGGGGCGCATTCCGCGGACCGGCAAACTTAGCGCGAACGGGTATTATTGAGTTTGGCTATTCGGTCTTGAGTGTTAATTATGACAGAAACATTTTCCATGACTAATAATAATATTACAAACTCTCAAGATCTCTCAAGTCCATACCGCTCGATGACCGTAAATGTCAGTAACCAGACTCAATTATAACTACCCAACATCTGTGTCCGGTTTTTCACAGTGAACTGTATCCCCATAACTTCATTATAAAAAAGTATGAGGTAAACTTACGTATTCCCGTCCGTCGCAGATGATCCACCTTAGCATAGTAAGCTTGAACAAGATTATAAATGAAATAAGCGATGTGTGCATATTGGAATCTCTGTAAGCTTGCTGGCTAATGTAAAAGTTAATATGAGTGGCTTACACAGTAGGGGAGAGTGGGGTAAGACGGGGTGGGGGGCAAGACGGGGCGACCGATCCTGAGTGCAAACGAATTAGCCAATCAAGATCGTTTTAGCACCTGACGCTGCACCACCACTACGGCAATCAGTTATCGAAGTGAGCGGACAACGACACTACGCCTTTGATTTGTTTTCTGGAAAAAACTGTTTTTTGCTAAATAGCTAGTGATTTTTCTATATTATACTGGGCGTGTATTTTCCGTAAATAATAACACCTCGCAATTGATTTAAATGTTATCAAATGTGAAAATAACAACACTAACAGGTAAGAACTTGTTTTCCTCATTGCTGCGTACTGGTTTTATTCAGTTATTTTTTAAATTTTATTTGGCATACGGGGGCATGATGGGGTAGGTGTTAAGGGGCAAGATGGGGTATGAAGGCAAGCGACATAGAAATGTCTAATTTTACTATTTATTTTATTCTAGAATGGTGAGAAATTATTAAAAAAAACGATTAAGAAAAAGAAAGAGGCGGAAGAGGATATACAGCGAAAAAAAAGAGTTGAGGGAACTTAAAAATCTAAAAAAAAAACCTCCAACTAAGGAGAAAAGAGTAACAAAGAAGAAAAAAGGGGCTAAGAATAGATCATTACACGAGAATAGTGACAGCAATACTGAAAATACACCTTTTTTGTATTGTAAAGGCCTATATTTGGACTCAAATGAAGGCTGGATTGCTTGTTCAGCATGCGGCAAATGGGTTTACTGCAGCTGTGCAGGTTTAGATGACGAAGATGCAGATACCGTGTTCACTTGTGAACATTGTGAAAAGTAAATAGTCGTTTGCTGCCATACCCCATCTTGCCTTCTTATTGGTACCCCATCTTACCCACGGGGGTACCCCATCTTACCCTAGGGGTGGGGCATGATGGGGATAAGGGTGTATTTCTACTTTTTGTTTTTTCAAATTTTATTATGTTAATTAGACTGCCAAATTACACGTGAACAATGAAGACTGATTATCGAAGAAGATTATAAGAATAAAACAAATTAATAAAACTCTCTACGGTCAACTTTATTTACCATCAAACGTTAAGGACCCCGTCTTGCCCCACTCTCCCCTACACAGCCTAGTGCTTTGTTACTACATAGGTGTTGTTATCTTTAATACATACTTACGAAATGTTGTTTGTGTGCATTTAAACTGTGTAAATCGGTATCATATCAGGAAAAGTAGGTACTAGGTACACACTCGAATATAAAACTTGTACCTAATAAGGATAGGTATTATATTAGGTTGTTAATGGCACATTAGACTCTTTATTGCAGAACTATTAAGTAAGGCATAATATCTCGTTTGTCATTATCAAATTCAGGATGTATTAGGCATTTTCATTTTTACTTTGAGCACTATGTTATTACCAACCTTTTATCTTTCTTCTTACTAATATTATAATCTTACTTCTTACTAATATTATAAATGCGAAAGTTTGTATGGATGTCTGGATGTTAACATGTTTGTTACTCTTTCACGCAAAAAACTACTGAACGGATTTTGAAATTATTGTTTATACTCCAGCATAACATTAGGCTATACCTATTTTTTTTTTATGTGACAATGATTTCTGCAATCAGTCGCCAGACTATAATCAGATATGTTGAGTGTCATTTTATTGTTAAAGAGCAGCTGGTCTATGCCTAAGCTGTCTTCTTAAATTACCTAATTTGTGACAAACTAAATTTCACGCGAGTGAAGCCGTGGCAAAAGCTAGTTTAATAATAAATTACAATTAGATTTTAAATAATATGTGTTTATTTGTAAAGGCAAACTAGTGATTCATTTAGTACGCTTATGTGACTAAAATTTTTACCCAAAGTGTAAGCAGATTAGGTTCTACTTGTTTTGGGGCAATAGCAAAGCATTCAGAGGTGGAATTGTGTAAAGCAATCGTAATCATTTGACAGTTCATAACGTACGATTATTCTGTCAAACGCTTTGTTTCACTGACTTTATCGTACGTTATTATCTGTCATATGGTTACGATTGCTTTACACAATTCCACCTCTGAGCAGTACCTCTAGTAGGAAAAACTTTCGAGTTCGTTTCGTTGCGTATTCAAAGTGTCATCGAAAAATTTTGTATGAAAAATTAAACAGCGCCCCCTATATTATAGCCGCCCTAGGGGGCCCTACTAGAGGTACAGGTTTGTGTGTGTTTAGGCAACAGGCACCTACCTAGCAAATGGGGTTTTAGTGATGAAAATGAATCAGTGAACATTTTGTTTGTATCTATAGCATACCTAAAAATAATAAAGACTGCCACCAATTATGAACCTTAAATATTCTAGATACTTTTTGTATTTCTATACTTTTCATTAATTACAAGTTCCCTACTCCACCACATTTTTAGTATAGCTGAAGTACAAAGAAAATTGTGTGAATGTGTAACATTAAAAAAGAATCTAGAGAAAAATGCAATTTATTGTCAACAATGATTTACACAATATAAAAAAATATTTACATCCATATAAATTTACATAGATACAAGTTTGATTCAGATATTAACATAAACACACCAGCACCACTATAGCAGAACAGAAAAAGCCATAACATTTTATAGGTAAAAACTAACTTAGTTATTAATTTTGTTGTATTATTTTGTTTTAATATCCCCGTCAATAGTTTTGGTTGCTGTTTTGAGTTGATAAATTGTTTTTTATGTCATGCTCAACACTGTCAGAAATTGTTAGGGCAGCTTTACCTGAATTTGAGTTCACAGAAACATGTGAGGGAAATACTGCTCTTTATTTATTACTGTTTAAATTGAAAAATTTAAATTTTTAAATCAATATGATAAAACTTTATAAAATCTGTTACAAAATGTTATTTAAGCTTCCTCCTTATGTCCAATTACATGTTTCATAGAATAATTTATTAATCTTATTTTTTTCATGTTCCGCTAAATGTACCAGTGTGTGTATAACATGAAATGGTAAAGATCAATAAATTAAACACAGATGTCAAATACTAAAAATTAACTATGTACTAAAATTATGATAGGTAAAATTAGTTGAAATTGATGAAATGTTATTAAATTAAATGCTGTTGTCCCCACCTCGAGGGCAGGGGGACAATGGGACTTTAAAAATCCTGTTGTCCCCACCAAGGGGGACCACCAGGGGGACAACAGGACTGCATCTCACATGGTATCATCAAAATATATTTAAGTATGCAGTCAAATGTTTTCAATGCAAATGTAACCTTTAAATTGTTTTGAAGGACTTTTATACATTTTTATAAGTGCTTCAGACAAACTTCATCTAACATTTTCCTTACTAATCCAGTGCCTATGTAATGACTTAATATTACAACAAGCCCTTCGTACCGGATAGTCTGCTATCTCTTTACTTGTATCAAAATAATGTGTGCATGATGATAACACTATGAGAATGACTTACGGCTCAATATACTCTTGCATTTTACTAGAGGAACTTGTTTACTATCTATATTATCATGCGATAAGCCATAAAAATGATTCCCCAATTACATCCTCTATGTACCTTCAGAAATATTATGTACATCTACACATTTCTACACAGTAATAAAGTAACATTGTTTCAATAATTTTCTGTAGGTATTTCTCACATGTCAGAGAAATAAAGAGGTCGTATACAGCTTTACAAAAGTTGAATGTCCATTATTTTTCCATTTACTAACCAGATAAAAAAATATTAACCCAAATAGAAATGAAAATACAGGAGTTAATCTAAACTGTGACATCAAAAAATGCCACCTAGGCAGTCTTCGTGTAACTAACTTATCAGCTGATTATTTCACTACCCACTAGAAAAATAATAATACTGTCGGAGGGTGTTAGTAAAAAATATAGTTCTCAATTTACCTTACAATTAACACGAACACTCATCACAAAAATAACACATTCAATTTTTGCCCACTTCAAAACATGATCCGTCAGCAGCCGTGAACCATAGACAATTTTTATGTGTCGTTTAATTTTTTTTTTCTTGGAACAGATGATATAGGCAGTTTTGTTGTCATTTTGTCTGGTGGCTAAAATAGGAACTATAGTTCCAAAATACTGGACTGTCCTGTCGATGACATTGACAGTGGGGCGCCACCGTCAATACCGGATCGCTGGTTCAGATTTTTGCCATGTTGGAAACCATATAGTTGAACGATGGTAGCGCCCCCCTGTCATTGAGTTTGGTGGGACAGTTCAGCGTGGGTCATCTATATATAATAAATTATAAATCTGGCATGGCAAAACCAGTGTGCTTCTTGTGTTCATAGAAAATTCATAAAAAGCGGTGTTTTGGACAACACTAAAATGTCTCACATTTTAAAGAAGGGCGGTAAAGATCATTGGTAAAGATGTCCAACAAAGAACCGACATTGTTATGAGGGCGCTACTATCTATACTGGATTATTAGTTCCGATTTTTGCCACGTAGGACAACCCTCTTCGCCTCTTCCGACGTATCCACAAAGATTAAATTCACTCTGACGAGCGTATCCAATCCTTTTTTCACTTTAACAGGAGGGCGCTGCTATCAATACTTTGTTGTTGTTAGTTTTCAATTTTTGCCACTTGAAGTATCAGTGGGTCTTAACAAAGTGCACATTAAAATCGCAAACCAATCAAAAAGTGATCATTTAAGTTTTGACGAATTCGATTGTCGATTCGATCAAAAAGTGAAACTTGTCTAGGGGGGTAGAATCGATTGAATTTAATAAGGGTGGACCGAGGGAACTAGAAACGACCACGCCATCACCCGCAGGACCAATTAATATTGTCCAACTCAAAGAATATATTTACCAATATTTACTCTGGTCCAACTAATAAACAACGCAACACGATTCGTTGCGTTGTTTATTAGTTGGACCAGAGTAACATTGACAGGAGGGCGCCACCGTCAATACCGGATCGCTGGTTCCGATTTTTGCCACGTTCAATGTAGTTCATGCAATAACCGCGCCCCCCATCACTTTAAATGAGGCCCAAGCATTAGATAAGTCTTTAGCCTTTATCTAATTTACTTACGTGAGTAAAAATTTATTTAATTTTTTTGATTGTTATAGGAAACGATTATCTTAAATTCACTGCTTTATTATCTGGGGGCACGGCAGTGCCGGCACAGCATAAAAATTTATTTAATTTTTTTTATTGTTATAGGAAACGATTATCTTAAATTCACTGCTTTATTATCTGGGGGCACGGCAGTGCCCCCACCAAGTCGAGCAAAAAAGCGGCACGGCCGTATCATCTTTTTCTCGAAGCAATTCAGGCCATTTTCGACCGCCTGTAACTTCGTTGTGGATAAAACTAGAAGGCTGAATTTTCATTAGCTATGCAGGCATTGTAAAGACACGGTATATTTAAAATTTCATTCAATTTGAACCAGTAGTTTAAGAATTATAACGGGTCAAAGTTACTTAATTTTGTCACTCACTGACTCACTGACTGACTCACTCACTGACTCACCGATCATCAAAACTCTAAGGCACTTCTAGCAGACCTAGAAGCTTCAAATTTGGAATTTAAGTAGTGTTTGGTGTATGAGTCAAGGAAAAACTATAATATTTGAGGGCACGGTAGTGCAACCGCCAAGTCGAGTAAAATTTTTCAATTTCGGTCCAGTTTTCTAGATACATAACTGCTGTCTACAAAATACAAAAAGAAATGAGATTTGGGGGCACGGTAGTGCAACCGCCAAGTCGAGTAAAATTTTTCAATTTCGGTCCAGTTTTCTAGATACATAACTGCTGTCTACAAAATACAAAAAGAAATGAGATCCCATCAAAAACAATACTTGTCAAAAAAAACCAAGTCTCGCAACTCAGTTGTTCTACGGTAAAAAGTTGTGAGATAATACCAAGTCTAGGCCAGGAAATCTTAATCTTAAAATATATTTATGTAAAACGTTAAAGATTTCCTGGCCTAGACTTGGTATTACATGGATCTCACAACTTTTTACCGTAGCTGCGTAGAACAACTGAGTTGCGAGACTTGGTTTTTTTGACAAGTATTGTTTTTGATGGGATTACCTACTTACTAGGACCTAGTAAGTAGGTAATAATTACTATAGGATGTGTACAGACAACAGCAATTCATACATTTTTGTTTCAGAATCGAAAATGAAAGATACAAGGGCCTGGGCACACCAATAAATGTGGTCGACGGTACGCCTAAAAAACTCTGAGATATCAATGTTTAGCATGATTTAGCGTCGTCCGTACATAAAAAGAAAAGTCATAAGTTATTAGATACATACCTATTTTATTCAAATCGACAGCGTCAACACATCGAACACTGACAACATCAGTACCCCATACAAAAATGGTACAAAAATTAGGGTAAGTGATTAACATAAAATGATCAAAATACACTGAAATCATTCAATACGACATAATTTAAATGTATTCTTTCTAGTTCAATTTTATTATAATTTCATTTGAGCTAAAGCATCAGGCACACAAGATGGCGTTAAAGCGACACCCACATTTCGTAGGTTTAAATGCGTGTAGTAGCGAGGCGATCACTGTCGAATAATTTTATTGTAAGTGGCGTAAGGTCACGTCACATGCCGCTCCCGTAACGCCAGTTATGTGCCAGGTACATAATAGGTACATATTTACAAACAAGCTCCTGTTATCTCAATTTTAACAATTGCACCTGAAGGGACCTCGAAATACCAATATTCAACAAACGGTGTGTTCTTATGAGACGTATTTTATTACGTGTAAACTTGTCTTGAAAGTTTAAAATTGAATACAAGTTAGCTTATTAATAAATAAAAAACCGGTCAAGTGCGAATCGAGCTCGCGAACGAACGCGAGTATTACGAACAAGCTAATAAGTATGTATGTAAATAGTGATCACATTAACAATAACAACAATTAACAATAAATTAATATTATGCTAACGGACGAACAATTATCCTATAAAGGTTTAAACTTTTCCTTTTGTGGCAAGAAACCCCAAAAATTAAGAACACCAGCTATCCTCTGTCGCTAACTGGGCGAACTGATACAAAAATAATAACGACACAAGTTCATACTGTTCTAAAATACGCCTCAACAGAAACAAGCGGCCAAACACAAGCGGGATGATAAATGCGAAGCAAGATCTATTCGATAACATTTTTGTAAATTTGATAGCTAATGATAAATAAATGACAATATTGAAGTATTTCGTACAAAGTTAAAATGATTACGAATTTTCACAGTAAACCTAACCGATGCAAATTGTATAAGCGCAGCGTATAAACAAGTAGTCAAACATTCAAATATGTTTAATGTATAAATTGCTCTCAATCAATTGCTCCTTTAAAATTACTATTGACCCACTATGTATGGCCGCTCTAACATTTGAAAAATGCACACTGATTTGACTAAATTTCTGCTTACTAATAACTTCAATCTGCAACATCATGCAATTAACTCTTAATTTAAACGACAATTAAAAAACTATTTTATTCATAATTATAATGAACCATAGACAATTATGGTGCATTATTTATAGAACTATTCCTTTTACAACGGCTACAAAACATTTATAAAATCGCCGGACTTCGGCCAGGGTGGTGTTAGTAAATTACTGCCAGCCTCAAAAAGATGTAGGTGTTTTAAATATATTCCTTAGATACAAGAAAACGATGACACTAAAGACACATCTTTTTATGGATGACGGCCTTGGACGAATATTCGTCCAAGATGACGGCCCATAAAAAATAACATTTCGTACTCGTTGCTCATTCAACATTTGCGATTTCACTACAATTTGCCATAGACTACATAGATGAATAGCCAGAAAACATTAAACACAATAAAGTTCTGTGATTACCAATAGGCCAATTTGATGTTTCCAAATTATTCACAATTCGACTTTTATATACATACAATACAAAAATTATAAATAATATTTTTCATATTTGCGTTTATTTGGTAGGTTAATTCTAAATTTTATGATTGAATCGATGGTGAATGTGATGAAAATTCATTTGTACTGTTTGAAATTAAAAGTGAAAGTAGTATTTAATTGTGATTTGACTTCTCAAAATCACTCGTAATTTAGGAAATATAAATACGACACATTTAATAAACGGCATTCAAGCCGGGCGTCATTTAATAATATTGAAATGATCAATAAATGATACTATAATAAGTATGCCAAGAAATGTTTACATGTTCAAAACACTCGCATCAATTGAAATATTTAAAAACATTTCAGTTCTTTGCTGAACATGACATGTATTCCTTAGGATCTACAGAGATCTGTAACAAATAAAGAAAAGCGTGAAGCATCCCGGGGCAAATGTGAAAATGTATGGAAACAACACGACGCGCTTCCGTCGACTGTGTGTCAGAGGCGTTAAACTTGGCACAATATCACTTTTAAAAATGACTGTACGTTGTACGTATACACAGAATAATAATAAGTACTACGTACAGAAAGATTTCTTGGAAAAGGTATTTAAAAAATGCATGTATGTAATTTAGCTTGTCTGCTTTATCTGTTTTTACGGCGAGAAAAATTCTAATAATTTCGGAAAACACCGGGCGAAGCCGCGGGCGGAAAGATAGTATGTTATAATTTCACATTTATAAAATTCATTAAACAAAATATGATTAATATGAACTAATTATTATCACATCAATTTGAAATATCTACAATCTACAAGCTTCGACGAAATATCAATTTATTAGGTACGCTACTAAGTTTAAAGTTTCCGGCACACAGCAGAGTGCGTACGACGTGAAGTTTTTATACAAATGACAAACGCCAGCGTATTTTGTGTGAGTGGTAGCATGGTCCTACGCATGACAAAAACTCAAATTGTATGAAATTATCTTCATCATCACACTAGCTGAGTGCGTTAGTTTCTCCAGCCAAAGTGCCAGTCTACCAAGCATAATCGAACAACTCTCATAATAGTAGGGCAGTAGTTATCATGACAACTACAGGTTGATTTTGTCATCATTATCCTATTTTTTAGGAGCGACTCGGAATCAGTAACTTAATCGATTTACGTAAAGAAATCATTTTTATGTTTTCGTATTTAATTATTTCTATCCGCTGCGTGGATAATTTGCTTCGTTCATTGAAAAATACGTATACACAGTTAACTACAAAGATTAATAGACAATGGTACGCGAAAATAAGTCTTAAACTTTAAAAATTAAGATATGGGCACCCGCGAATTAAATTTTCAATAATTTTTTTCGCGAAAAATACCGCGATTAAGAATAATTAAGAAAGTTGTATTGTTATATTGTTCTATAGAACTTATTAAAAACATTTGGATACTGATAACGGGCAGTGCAGGACCGTTCATTGTGGAAAACCTTGGGGGAGGCCTTTGTCCAGCAGTGGACGTCATTTGGCTGAAACGAACGAACGAACTGATAACAAAATCACCCTGTATATGTACAGCTCTAGAATTACGAGTTGTCCGTGCTTGGGGTACAGAGGCCTACGTTTCGCAGTGCTGTCAACAATGCTGATCATGCTAATGAGCACAACTCGTTGCCTTATGAACTACCAGTGTAAACATTTATGTACAGATTTGTGATTTCGGTCAGTGACCCGAAATTCCAGCCTCAACAATTTTAGAATGCTTCATTTTGATACTTTTAACAACACACATAACACCTATAATGTAATGAAACGGAAAAACGATTGTTTCTATGACAGCTTTTGTTTCTTTCTGTGAATGTCTGCATCGCACGCGCCGCAATAATTTAATTTGTTAATTTTGATCTAATTAAATAAATGGCAACCAAACCTTTTATATTTGTTACTTCATTGCACTTTAGAACACAAAATAACACCTGATTTGTTCACTGACGTCAATAAATATATGCCATTATAACAGAACATGCTTTCTATTCAACTAACCTCCACGGGATCTCCCCAAAATCGGCGCAGGCGATGTGGAATACGTGTAAATGTCAAAATAATTTTGCTAGACTATAATTTGTGACGTCAAAATTTTGTAGTTTCTAAATCAAGTGAAAGTACTTCTTTTTATAGAGGAACCAAATTAACGCTATATAAAACCTGGTTTTAAATTGATGCCCTAAAACAGAAAAGGAACGGTGTTAGGTTAGCATCTCTATAAGTTTGTGACGTCACACAAAGAGTGAAAACTGTCATAAAAAGGTACGTTTGTATTGACATCTTAATATGTAATGGAATCTCTAAACAATCGCGGAGGAAATGTTGTGATTAGATTAGATTTGATCTAAATCTTCTCTTGTATAAAGGGATGGGCTAAGCAGTGGTTGACGGACGCCCGCTTGGCTGGGTCCAGCATTAACATTCGTTCTAGAAGGTCCTTCAGCTGCGATATCTTCTTGGCTTCGGCCGGCGGTAGTCGGTGGTGGGGCGGCGCTAGTTCGGTCTGTAAATCTCTTGTCGGCTTTATACTGGACATGATGACAATTTTTTCCTGTAAATATAAAGATAACTATTTACAAACTCCTATATTTTATATGAAACGGTTTATCAAACTAATTTAAAAATAATGTATTTTAGATTAGGATTTTGTTACAGTTTCCAATATTGCATTTAATTGAGCGTTTACATGTTTCATATTACTTTACATATATTAAAAGTTATGCTTGTATACTTTCACCAGGGGAGATTACATCACCAGAGGCAATCGATTAAAATATTATTCGCCATGCAAATGATTAAAAAGAAAAAATAATTAAGACTAACAAAACTCACCCTTTCAGTAATTTTGTCCAGTTCATGGTATAAGAAGTTGCAATTGGTATCGAAGTGCTGCTCCTTGAAATGTCCTTTCTTTATGATTTTGTTCGGGAACTTTCCTTTGAGGTCCATGAAATACTTGAGCATTTCGTTGTTGGATTTGCCACTGAACATGATCTTTCCTGTGGACAGTTCGTATATTGTGCAGGCCGTGGACCACATGTCTATGCCGTGGTCATAGGGAACCCCCATGATGATTTCTGGAGCTCGGTAGAAACGGGAGACTAGGTAGGGGGTGATTTCGTTGTCTGTGACGTGTGAGGCTGCACCGAAGTCGCAGAGTTTGAGCATCAGCTTGCTATCATTCACCAGGATGTTGTCGGGCTTTATGTCTGAAAAAACGAAGTTTAACACTTATAGAAATAGATAAACATTTATTTCGGTTCGAACAATTAACACAGTTTGAATAAGTAAAAGGGTCAAACCAAAAATGGCCACTGCTCTATAGATAGTAGAACCCAGAACATGACGCTGTTATTCTGCGGAAGCCAAAACTTAGTTCAAATCCTTTTTATTTCTACGTGGTAAGGTACAGAGATCGGTTGGTAGCGTTGACGGATAACGCGTCGCACTGGCCTATTTGATCTTAAAATTATACACTGTATAGAGATTCTCTCTTGATTATTTCTAAACTATACAAGGTATCTAAAAACTGGGTACTAATCCTGAAAGTGCTTCACGAGCTCTATAAAACGGCATCGGTTACATTTAACTGCAACCATTGGTTCCCAAAGTGGGGGACGCGCCCCCCATGGGAGGCGCACAGACCTTTAAAGGGGCCGCGGGCCATCTGTGTACTTAAGTATAAAAACCTGCGACCGTTGAGAGAATGCATTCCAGACTGCTTGATACGACCACCAATAAATAATCTGGACTGGAGGAAGGGGGAGGGGTGCGGAATTTTTTGGCTTATTCCACTATTCCCCGTTGATAATCCCCGTCAACGGGGAATAGTGAACTTTTTGTTCACTAATCCCCGTTAACGCCAATTGGAGCTTATAATGGGGAATAATGAACTAAAAAGTTCATTAATCCCCGTTATATTAGGATTGTATTTTGAACGTAATGGGGATTAGTTCATTATTCCCCATTATAAGTTCCAATTTAAAGTTAACGGGGAATAGTGAACAAAAAGTTCACTTATCCCCGTTGACGGGGATTGTCAACGGGGAATAGTGGAATAAGCCAATTTTTTGTATGGTCGAAAGGGCGGCGCCTCTCGAATAAGTTTGGGAACCAAAGTCTAGACACTCACCAGCGTGCAGTATCCCGGTCTTCTTGAGCAGTTTGAGCGCGAGCAGCATCTGCTGAGTGTAGGAGCGCACCGCCTTGATGTGAATGCCGCTGTTCTTGCCGTATTTCTTGAGGACCTGGACAAATGGGATTAATTAGGCGAATTGACTATTTTTAAGGGGGGGAGGGGGGTATCATAGCATGAGTTAGTACCAGAACATTCGTGCCGCCACTTGCTGCTGCAGAAACAATATAACTGGATTATAGCTCCTGTTTCAAGGGACACTGAATCAATAACTTTGGCCTTTATCATAAAAGTATCATTATGATAAAGTGTGATAGAAAATTCAATTGGGCGAAGTTGCAAGGACCAATGCAATCTACATACTATGCCCGCCGACTTAGGCGACTTCACATCTCGTTCGAGTTGGAAATCGGCAACTTTTTTGGTAGTTGCTATCACCATCAGTGTGACAGTCACTATTATTGACAGCCGCGTGTAGACAGGTGTGTTAATTAGCAAGTAAAAATATTTCATTGTTTTACTACGATTTTCTAGCTGTCGAGCGACGCGAGGAAACTTAACGGCTTTGACACAACGTAGCGTATCGTGCACAACACGCGATGACGTGCGGCTGTGAGAATACGTTATGGTTGGTTCCATACTTGCACGTTCGGACGTACTATCGGCAACAGTGTTAACTGCCCATTGCCAGTCATGTCATCTCGTTCTATCGCAAAGAATCACCATTTGATGAGGGAGAGCAAAAACGGAAATGGATAGTTAACAGTAGTGTGGCCGTGTGTACGCTAAGCGGTAGGTACTTATCACGTATTGAGCGAGTGACGGAGGCCTGGTAAAACTGTCAGTGAATTAATGAATAAATACTTACTTCTCGCAGATTCATAGACAAGGGCTCGAGCACCATGCACAAGTGCCGCTTGTGGAAGAAGTGCCGGAAGAGCCGCAAGCAGTGGAACTTGTCGTCGGGATCCGCGTCGTTAAGCCGCTTCAGGATCTCCAGCTCACGGAGACCCGTCTTGTGCCTGGAGGCAACGAGTAAATGCAAATGTCATAAACAAAACAACTTCTTCTTTGTTGATGGCGGTGAACTTGTGCATTTTCGCCAATTTTGCTAAAACCCGTATGTGATGGTGGCGCCCTCTATTTACTTTTTTTTTTCTTTTAATATTGTATTTTTTTATTTTGTTTTTTCTCTTTTGTTTGTTTTTTGTGTATTGTCTCATCTCATGTTTGTTTCCAGCTCTCTCCAAAAATGGTCACCGCAGAATAACAGCGTAGTGTTCTGGTTTTATTTACCAGTCCAGAGCATGACACATGCTGAGCGGTGGCCAATTTTGGTTCTAACTTGTACTTGTTTTTTGTTATCTTGTTTAGTGTAAGGGCACAGCAGCTAGTGTCTATGTATAAAGCCCGGTCTCCGAGCATGTAGAATTTCGTCCAATGACCCCAAGCTACCCATCCTTATAGCTCGCGCGTAATTATGTTGCTGTCGCGCTCGCATACTCACTGCGGGCGCCCGTCGCTATAGTATAAAGTATCAACTCACATGATCTCGTTGTTGCGTATGATCTTGACCGCGACGTCTGTGTTGTTGCGCGTCTGGTCGCGCGCGCGCACAACATTCGAGAACACGCCTTGCCCGGTGTACCCGTACACGCTGTACCGGTTGTCGAGCGTCTCGCCGATGCGTACCCTGGGGGTACACGTTGACACAGGTATATTGAGGGGTACAAGTTTACACAGGTATATTGAGGGGTACAAGTTTACACAGGTATATAAAGGGGTACAAGTTGACACAGGTATATTGAGGGGTACAAGTTTACACAGGTATATAAAGGGGTACAAGTTTACACAGGTATATTGAGGGGTACAAGTTTACACAGGTATATTGAGGGGTACAAGTTTACACAGGTATATCGAGGAGTACACGTTTACACAGGTATATAAAGGGGTACAAGTTTACACAGGTATATTGAGGGCTACAAGTTTACACAGGTATATTGAGGGCTACAAGTTTACACAGGTATATTGAGGGGTACAAGTTTACACAGGTATATTGAGGGGTACGAGTTTACACAGGTATATTGAGGGCTACAAGTTTACACAGGTATATTGAGGGCTACAAGTTTACACAGGTATATTGAGGGGTACAAGTTTACACAGGTATATTGAGGGGTACGAGTTTACACAGGTATATTGAGGGGTACAAGTTGACACAGGTATATTAAGGGGTACAATGTAGTCGAATATTTCATCCAGGCGTGATGATGTCATGTCGTGTGGATTACTATGGTTTTCTTGTAAATTTAACTGTCGTACCTACTATCAGAAAAACTTGTCTATGAACTGCTAATTTGACAAGTTTGTGATCATAAAAATCAGACTTTCATGGCAAAGTTCTATTCTGTTCTAAGTCTGGGAGTAAAATTGCTGTTTGGGAATACGTACTCGATTCGATCGTATTCGATTCTCATTTCAACATAAAAAGGTATTTTCTGTACACGATTGCGGAATATTATGTTGATTATTTATAGACATAATTAAACAAATAAAATACAAATCTTACCTATAGTAGCCCTCGGCGTCATCCCAATTGTCTGTAAGCGATGGATTCTCTAAAGCGGTTTTGCTATTCGGTTTGCCAGCTGTGGGAGTCTGCAAGTAAATATTTATTTCACTATCGAAAGAATAACATTTATTTTCGAAATTGAAGTTCTAATGAACTAGAGGTCTACTCTGTAACGATTACAATGTATTAAGACTGTAATACATTTCCACTATTAGAGCTACCTGTGTTTAGTGACAGATATTGAAAAGGTATAGCGGAGTAAATCCTCTTATAGACCATTGGTACTGAACTGTCCTATCCGTGACATTGACAGCGGGGCGCCACCGTCAATACCGGATTACTGGTTCCGATTTTTGCCATGTTGGAAACCATAACCATATAGTTGAACGATGGTCGCGCCTCCCTGTCAATGAGTTTAGTGGGACAGTTCAGTTTAGGTCATCTATATCCGAAATCCAAATAACAATCGAATAATTTGATAACTGGTAACCCACCTTTTTGTTTGACTGTGAACACTGTATTTCGGTACTCACATCAACACTGTAGTTGTCTTGATCAGCGAACATGTCCCATTCACTGCCTTTATTGGATTTCTCCAGCTTTATGGTTGTCTTTGATTCGTTCTCTATGTTCTTTATGAGTGCTTCGCTCGTCTGCTCTTTGGGAGGCGATCCGATCTTCTTTTCTGGCTGAGTGTCCCGGAAAACCTTTATTTCTGGAGTGAGTGAGCCCTTGGTGGTGGCAGACTCGGTCTGCGGTATTGGCACGGGGTTCTGTTGCACCTGATTGGCATTCTGTTTGTCACCGCCTAGTCTCTGTGGAGAACAATTTTATTGTTAAAATATTAGGACGGTGTAGGGCTCAGTAATTAAGGTGTTCGCGAACATTGAATGCATATTGTAATGAGGGATTGAGTACGTACATTGAAGAATCTATTGATGTATCTTTGATTTAAACAAAAAGTTGTAAAAACTTTATTTTAAATAATAATACCAGGTAATAATAGAGCATTTATTGTTCTGTTATTCAGCACATATCAGATTCTAGTGCTTAGTGATAAATAAAAACACGATTTTAATCTGAATGTTAACAAAATGTAACATGAATCGGGCATAATAGTATCAATGGGAAGGGTTAAGCACAAAACAGTTGTCAAGGGCAACACACTGGCTTACGAGGGGTGACGTGACCCGCGCCCCCTGCGAATAACTGCTACATTTAATAGCGCAGTCTATTACGTTCATCTCAATCGATGTGAACACACGTTTTTTAAACGATAACAAAATCTTATTTAGTATTCTGAGAATATTTATAATCTATTAAAATATTCAAAGTTCCACATTATGTGGACTTTAACTATAGCAAATGTCAAAAATCTATCTAACTCCATACAAAACACACCGGTTTAATCACTCACCCTTTAGTATAATAAATGGCATGTATTTAAATGATCTTTTTAAATTAGCAAAAACGGCAAATAAAAAAATCACCATAAATGAGCACCAAATATTCAATATTGTGATACTTTTTTAAATAATTCGATTTGTATAAATTGTTTTTTGTCTATATCAAATAATCTTCAAAATAATTATGTTATGGTACTTATTTTTATTAAGTTGTAGTCATAAGGATGGAAACTATTTAAAGGCACTTGATGTTCAAAGATTTTTTTTTATTAAAAAAAGCATACTTAACACGTTCACACTGCGTTATCGGGTTGAATTGACCTTAGGTGCTGGATGCGTTGGTGCGGGATGGATAATATTCGGTCTTTTCAATAGTACGAAAGATAAATATTGTGTTGCAATTGTTTCGTCAAACACAGTAAATATTTGGAAAAAAAAAACTTATCAGGTCCTTACGACCCGATGTCGCACTAAAAGTAAACAAATATCGTTTAGTGCTTTTATCGTGTCTAATCGACCCGTTGACAGATGACTTCATGGTCACTGATCACGGTCGAGATCGGTATACTAAGAGAAAATCAACCTTGCGATTTGAAAAAAAATAAAGAGGTAAAAATTATGATGTCGGGTTCAGGGATGTCAGAAGTAAGAAATTATTTTACATAGCGCCTCTAGTCCCAAACTAAGCAAAGCTTGTAATTTAAAAAAAAATGGCAATGTACCATTCTGCTTGCTTATTGGCCGCTAAGCCCTTGGCCAACTCAGTAACCAATGACGGACGATTGTCACTCAACCACAAAGTACCGCGTAAATTAAAAGATATTTTTAATTAAAAATATTAACCAATAATATTTTTTGTTGGATCAAATATATTTTAAAGTTAAGTTATACATAGATCGAAATATATTTATTAGGTGATCAATATTAAAAGGCAAACTTGATATAAAAATCATCAAATTAACAAAATTAATGATCAATAACTAAAAAAGAGGATCAAATATTATTTTTGTTTACCAAATATTAAAAGAGTATGTTAAATATAAATATTATGTTACCTTTAATGAAGATCATTCATAATTTATCCGTAGATCAACTAATGTAGACGCAATAATTAAAATAAGGATAAAATATAATAAAAAACATCATTTATTTTTAAAAGTGCACATACAAAAAAGATCAATTAGTTTTTAGAGGATCAAATAATATTGTCCCATAATAAATATGTGGGACTCGTGAACGTCGTGTCGTTACAATCGTGATAGGAACCTGAATTCGGACCATTCCTGATTGTTTGATAAATGTAGTCTGATTAAAAAGGTTTGGATATAGCTGGATGCAGGTCGCCACCAACCGACCATTGTGGAAATCATTGGGGGAGGACTATTATAATCGTTTAGGCGCCATTGGTCCAATTCGCAATTGGTCTAATCGTGAAAAATTTACAAATTCGCGATTAGTCCAATTCGCGATTGGGCCAATTCGCTATTGGTCTAATTCGTAATTGGTCCAAAATAAAAGGATATCCAAAATGAAAAAAATAAGGAGGTTATTCAACTTTTACTACTATATGCAGAAAAAAGCAATTTGTCCCTATCGCGAATTGGACTAATCACGCCTAAAGGATCATACGTTATTATGTTCAGCAGTGGACGGTTATGGCTGAAATGATGATGATGAATAGCTAACCTTCATGAGTTGTTCCCTCTCCTGGCGCCGCCGCTCGATGATCTGCTGCTCCGTCTCTTCGTCATCATCAGTGTTGACGGAGATGTCCAGCTCCTCATCGCTGGAGCTCGGCACTATCTGGGCCACCTCGTTGGTAGAGTCCTGTGCAAGGAGTAAGTATTAGCAGAGTAAATACAAATGAGTAGGTCATCTTCGTAGAAACGCACCGAGCGCGGTTTGTATGTGAGCGCGCGCCAATACGTATGCGGTGCGCACGCACACACTGACAAAATTCGGGGCAACTCACCGCTAATCCACGATAAATTTTGTCAGTGTGTGCGACGTGCGTGCGCGCCGCATACGTATTGGCGCGCTCACATACAAACCGCGCTCGGGCGTTTCAATGAAGATGACCTACTCATTTGTATTTACTCTGGTATTAGGGAATCGGTAGGAAATTAATTTGTCAATATTGTGTTAGTAAAGCATTAAGATAAGTACCTACTCATAAAACTCATTTATTTTTGCAAGTAGGCTTTTAAAAAGCACTTACACGTCCCAGTATTAACCCTACTACATTAAGATAGGGTACTTGAATACAGCTACGATTGGTTTTATAATTTCGGTAATTGATAGCATTAAAATAAATAGCGAATATTTTAATAAATCTTTCTTTCTTATTTAGTCAATCACGGCACTTTGCGCTAATTATGCGAATAAATATAGATTCATCCTCCCCCACGAGATAGGCTCTGTTGTATTCCAATTTTATTACAGGTAAGTAACTTATTCACATTCACCCCAATAACTTTTAGAGAGACGTAGGGTGTATTATCCATGTTACTGTCTAATAAAAATACGAATTTATAAAGCGTATAGCTTAAATGCGTCTCAAAATAATAGTCGCAATCAATCATGTATGGAAAAATAAGATTTCGTAAATTCTCCATACAAAACGACAATATCAGAGGTTAACCTTTGTTAGTAAGTTTGTTAAGTATGTAAGTGCATAATTAGTCTACTACCACCACTAAAGATGAAACGTACAACTGAATGAGCAGTGGGTGTGATTTTGGCGAAGCGTTCTTAGTTGCAAAAATAGTTGTAAACAGCGTCAAATAGTTCGTAACACCCAAAATGACCCAAAAGTTTACAACACAACCTTATTTCAATTATAACAAAGACGTGTTGCGAACCTTTTGGCTACTTTGGTTGTTGTAACTATTTGACGCTGACTGTACGTACAGACGACAGCACATTGGACTATAAAATTTTGTTGCAAAATCATCTTTCTTACAAGTACGTAATATGCCACAGTATTTAGCTATTATAGTCCGGTCGCCGAGCACGTAGAATTTTGGCCAATGACCCCAAGCTACCCATCCTTATCGCTCGTGCGCAATTATATTGCTGTCGCGACTGTGCGACGGGCGGCCGCAGTGAGTGTGCGAGGGCGACAGCAACATAATTACGTGCGAGCAATAAGGATGGATAGCTTGGGGACATTGGACGAAATTCTACGTGCTCGGCGACCGGGCTTTAGATGTGACGCCATCTGCACATTGGTTCTACAATGGATAGCAATCTGTTACCAACCTAGGTTTTAGTAAGTATTTAGGTGAGACAGACTTAATGGTATAAATGGAGTGAATGATATTGTGTACCTATCAATGGTATGGAATAATAAAGGGTATATCTCATTACACTTTATTTTTAACCGTAATGGACAATCATGAAAATCATCGTGAATACAATTCAAAAAGTAATAAATTAATAAATACTTAATACTTAGCAAAGCAAAGACTGTTTGTATCACAAATCTGCAAGCTATTCTTATAGAATATGTTAAGCCTTAATAAATATGTATCTTAATATATGTTTGTGTGATTTTATAACTATTTAAACCCTGTTTAACCATTTTGACACAATTTTAATGTACGAGGGGCGGCTGAAAAGTTTTGAGCCTAAGTATCTTCAAGTGTTATTATTGATTCGCACTAAATTTAATTAATTTGCCAATAATCTCCTTAGTATATGTACAAAGTTTCATTCCATTAGCGTCATCACGCTTTTAGTAATTAATCCGTAAACATCATCAAGTCTCAGTCATCCGCGCAATGTACGAAATTGAAGTACACAGTTGTCATAAACTTCCTCAAAAAGAGGAACAAAACGCTGACGGTTACATTTGAAGAGACGTCTACAGTTTATGGGAAGTCTGGGCCTTCATTTGCCATCATGAAAGATTGGATCCGATAGTTCAAGCATGGCAGGGAGTCGCTAAAAGATGACCGCAAGTCAGGGCGGCCAGATATCGCCATTAACGAATAAAATAATGAAAATTTAAAGAATCTTGCTTTAGAGATCCGCGAATTAAGCTGTGACAGATAGCTGAAGTCATAGGCATTAGCAAGGAACGTATCGGCGATATTTTTCATACTCATTTGCACATGAAATAGGGGTGCACGCGATAGGTGCCAAAAATGCTCCCGCCGCTCGACAACCAGCGTCGAGTCACAACTTCGCAGGAGCTTTAGGACATCTTTGGCCATAATCCTAACAATTTTTTTTCTCACATTGTCACTATTGTTAAATAGTAGATCCGGCAGTACGATCTAGAGTCAAAATAAGAGTCAATGCAATGGATTCAAAAGAGAAAACGCCGCCGCGGCAATTCAAAGTGGAGTGATCGACACCCAAGCTCATAGCCACTATTTTTGGGATTGTGGAGGAATTTTATTCATTGACTACCTACTTAAAAAAAACTATAATAAACGGGGATTATTATGCTGTACTGTTGATAAGAGTGCGTCAAGTGGTTGTTGAAATATTAAAAGGCAAACTGGCGAAAGGAAATCTGTTATTGCAAGACAATTAGCCCGCGCACACCGCGCGTGTTGCATGGCTTGCCCCGGGTAAAACTGGATTTTAAGAAATTAATCACCCACCACACAGTTTAGTCCGAATCCTTACCTATTTTGTCTAATTCCCAAATTGGAAAAATGACCTCCAGGAACGAAGATTTTTGAGTGACAAAGAAATGAAGGCGGCGTTAAAGGCTCATTTCGAAGGCAAAGATTGCGATTTTTTTTTCAGTGGGTTAAAAGCTCTTTTACACAAATGTAAGAAGTCCGTTGTAGTAGAGGGAGATTAAATAGAAAAATATATTTTTTATACTTTTCTATCGGCGTTTTTAATACCCTAGGCTCAAAACTTTTCAGCCGCCCCTCGTACATGTGAATTCTGATTTCTAATTCTCACACATTTCGTATTAAAATTTATAATTAGCAAGGAATATAATATTTTGGTCAGAAATAAGGCAAGCTTAAAGTACAATAGTCAAGTACCCTATATCTTAAAATTATGAAAACTAAGAAGAATCAACTTGTGTAACACAATTAGCAAATATAAATGTAAATTACAATGATATACATATTTCATTTTATGAAATGTATTATTAATAGTAGAAACTGGACGATAAGATTTTTTCATTATTATTAAATAATAATTTTATTCTACATTCGATTACCTACACATAATTTTTTTTTATCACCGAAAATACCATATTATATTTCATTTCTCATTGTGTATAATAATAATTTTCCATGAAAAACAAGATGAAATCTTTCAAAAAAATTTCACTATCCTACGAGTATACTTATCTAGGCAAACCATTTAAGTAGTATGGAACATGGATGGAATTAGTTCCTTTTGCCATTCGCAACGCAATATAGATTCGGAACATTATTTAGTAAAGTTGGAACAGATCCCTAGAAGTAAAATTTTCAAAATATTATGAAACTATTACACCGAAGAACGGGTTTACCGTCGCGTATCATTCATACTATAAATTGTAATTTCGATGCGCACTTGCGTAACTTAAAGCTGAATTATGGTGATATTAATGAGTTAGGCATGGAAAGGCTGGAAGAGTTAGTAAGTGTTTAGAAGCGTTGCAAAAGCTTTTTGGTGTGCGATGATTGGTGGAACGATATGTGTACCTGCCGTCTGTCCCGGTCGCCCCTACCGATTCGGTCCCGCGACCGGTCTCTGTACCGATCTCGGCCACGGTCCATCGACCGGCGGTCTCGGTCGGAGAACCGGCGGTCCCTACGCGTCACCGACCGGTCTCTGGATCTTCGATGCCGCGCCATATCCCGCTCTCTACGCCTTAGTTCCGAAGACCTGCGCTCTCTCTCCCGCTCCCTTCCTCTCTCTCTCTCCCGCTCGCGCTCCCGGATCTCCCTCTCCCGTTTCTTTTCCCGCTCCCGCTCACGCTCCCGCTCCCGCTCCCGCTCACGCTCCCGCTCTCGCTCCGCCTCCTGCAACTTACGACGTTCCCTCTCTTTCCTCTCCCTATATTCTCGCTCCTCTAACCTCTTCTCCATTTCTTTTCGATTCTCCCTGTTTATGATTTCCCGCAGATCTTCCTCCGGCCGTTTCACCTTGTACTTATCACGCTCCGAAGACCTATCTTTACTGGTTTTGTGTTTGCTGCTCCGTTTCGATTCCTCCCGGTCCTTATGCCGCCTGTACGACGGTGACCTATCATTAAAGGATCCGTCAGTCTTATGTTTAGAGTCTCTGAAACTTTCATCATCACTTTTGTCTGAAAAATAAGCAACCAAACGAGCTTGCAGAAGCTCTTTCTGCTTCATGAGCTCTTCCAAATTCAAATCATCTTCAATCATAGTCAACTCTGGACTAGCACAATCTTCCTGATAGTTTTCTGTCTCCGAATTCGAAGATATAATTTCTAAAGCGTCATCTTTGTCGATGGATCTTTTTGAGTGATTGTTTCGACTACTACTTCTAGGTTTTGCAGATGCGTCACCGTTTTTGGTTTTCACGGAGCCAGAGCCGAAGGAATCGGAGAGCGGCGAATGTAGGGAGCCGTGCTTCAACGAAGCTTTACATTGCTTTGACTTTTTGATCAGTTCCTCAACGTCTGAGAGAGAGGTCTCGCTTTCGGGCTCGGGTTTGGGGCTTTTGTGTTTTTCCTTTTTGGACTTTTTCTTCTTTTTGTATCCTTTTTCATCACCATTGTCTTCTCTTTTCCTTTTCTTGTGCTTCTTGGTTTTCTTCTTCTTCTTGACTTCTTCATCAATGCTCTCTCCTGTGGTCGACTTCTCCGATTCAGGTTTTGTTCTGAAACAATTCACACGACAGATTGTACTTACAAGCGAGGGCTCCACACTCTCCGGGACATCTTCACTTCCATTGACAACATAATGAACAACTCTGCAATAGTGAATCTTGATAAATGTTTGGTTTATAGCAACCGATAAAAAACGCAGTTCCTAATGTTCCGAGCAGATAAGCGGAGCACTAGGTCCAGAAATTAAATTTTACTTTTGCTTTTTTCTCAGCCTTTCTACATGGAACACTTAAGAAATAAGAGTTACTAGGTATACTCGCTTGGTTTTTACGTTAGATCCGAGGAGTTGTATTGATATATTTATAGTGAAATCCATGTTGTTCATTTTGATGTTGTACGGAAGTGCCATTTTAAAAAAATTAAGTCATTTTGTGGGAAGAAATATTACATAAACATGTTTTGTTGTGGTTTTGTAAAATATCGATGGGTTGATATCAAAACTGACATATTTTGATTAAAAACCATAATGCAAGAAGAACTGTCAAGATCCTACAAGGTAGGAGTCAAAAAGTTTAATAAAATATATTCATCATGCGCACCGTCTTGCACCGCCGATTTTGGATTATGCTCGTATTTACAACTTACCTCCATCCTTTAAAGATGGACCCATACACGAAACGGCATGAAAAATTGGAACAATGTTTCTGGTACAGCCCTTCATGAGCTGCTAAGCATGTGTGCAAGTCTATGGTGCAAGTCGACCTTCAAATCTAGCATACCTAAGTGAAACGAAAGACCTAGTAGGTAATTTTCCAGACTGGGAGAATCAGCTATGTTCTTGGCAACAAATATAAAACATAGCTACGATAGCCGAACGTGAAGGGGTCGGAGTGGCCGACTAATTTGTGCAATACAAATTGCTAATAATCTTTAAAAAAAAAATCTATATTTAAACTTTGTACCTACATACATGCTTACGTAGCACGTGAACGCAACACTGGCTAAGGCGGTTATCACACTGCGCCGCGCTCCGCCGCGGAGCGCGTGATTTTTATACAAAAAATCACGCGCGCGGACGCGTTGTCAGTGTGAAGTGCCGCGCGTGTTTTCTATACAAACTGAGGTACTTGCATACAATGATTAAATCTGTCGCCCCGCGCTCCGCGGCGGAGCGCGGCGCAGTGTGATAACCGCTTAAGCCGTATCTGTAAATTTCTTGTGTCAGTGCGCATGCATTTTACCTATCTCGAATAGTCTCGAATCTGATGTCAAGGAGATACAATGTATTGTAACACTACTAGACAATAAAATCAATATGTAATTCCTTGACATGGTTATAAGAGAAAATCAATAGTCTTGAAGCAAGGGTGTTTGTGGGCGGCAGACGGCCGTGGGCGAAAGCTCCCACTTCTAAGTATTTTAAGAAATCATCCCAAGTAATATTTACAATATAGGACAAGCAATAAACATGTTATCTCATCTATTTGGCTTTCAGATATTGCTACGTTTTATGTTGTCTTCAAGAGCCAATCAATTACTGAACTTTTTCCAGCAAACTCTCTTCCTGGCTCAGTCTACAAATCTTTGGGCGAGACTGGGAATGCCTTGTCTTTTCCTTCGATTGTACTGTAGTCCACCTTCTCCACTTAAGGCCTGTGCGAGTTCGTTTGCATGAGTTTCCACTTTCTCCTGGTATTTCAGGCTTACCTGTACTAATTTCTCACGAACAGTGTTTATGCCTAGGTCAAGATACATGTATTTGTTGCTAATACATTTGATTGGGGTATGCTGAGCATGGTTCTAAGTGCTTTACTTTGGAATCTTTCTAGTATAACACATCACACACAATAACATCGCAATGCAAGATACTTAAACATAGGAAATAGGAGGTACTCACTCTTTGCCCATTGCTGAAGTTTCCCTCTCACTTATTTATACCAAATACCGAAATCTGTAACAAAGAAAAAAACCATAAGGCAAGAGTAAATTGAAACAGGTTTTAAGCTTTAAACTCTGTCTGTCTGTCTTGCTTTCACGCCTAAACGACTAAATCGATTGTGATGAAATTTGGCATAGAGATAGTTTGAGTATCGCGAAAGGACAGAGGACAGTTTTTATCCCAGTTTTTTAAACAGGGACGCGCGCGATGCAGTTATTCTGTGACAGGCAAAATTCCACGCGGGCGAAGCCGCGGGTGGAAAGCTAGTTAAATATAACATGTAAAAAATTAAAATTATGATGTAATATATTATTGTATGTTGCAACGATGACGTAATATTGAGCATGGTTCTAAAAAAAGGAATATACATTCTGTAAATATTCATGTGATAGCCCGCTAAGAAGATGGGGGGAAAGAGATGCTTCGTAATGAGCCCCATGAGTCAGTTATGAGGAAAAAGACAAGAGTTTGGATTGCAAGTAAGTTCGTTGTGTCCTCAACTTATTAATTCCAAACTACAGCGGCAATGTGTACTAAGCACTATTGCAAATTACTCGGGCTACATTTATTAATGTTTTGACTGTTATTCCGATTATCATTTGGTGCGTTTTTGATCTAGAGACCAGTCAACGTGCTTCACTTTATTTAATAATTAACAAACACTTTTAACTAACGGGCATACATATCAGTGTGCCACCAGGCCATTAAAATAAAGATAAAAGTTCAGAAAATTAAATAATAAGTACATTCGCAAAATTATGTTGATACATTAGAAATGTCTGGTTGTGTAGCTTACACAGGCATCAGACTATAAGCTGTCACCCTACGCTCGAAGCTATTTCAATGAAATTGGAAAACACTTTTATGAGAATCTTAAAAGCCAAGGGTTACTGAAAATTCTAGTCCACTGTTACAAACCTACTGACTTGCCTGAGAGTAGGGTCAGATGTGGCATATGTAGTGGATTTATTTATGTGGATTGACAGATCTCAAAATTAACAGGAAACAGTCGCAATTTGAAGCTGTTTTAACTTGTTTTAGGTTATGTTAAAACAAGTCACTTTGCATTTAATAGTTTACAGTTGAATTGTTATTCGTCTTCCGACACAACAAGAACCTTATGCGATCGAAAATGCCGCTTGACCATCAATGATATAACACCAGCTTCGCAAGTAAGACACGCAAACTGAGCCATGGCGCTAACATGGATTTTTTTTACGGATTCATTTCATTGCCAAAATTTAACGTAGCATGCTTCACTGAGAATTGCAAATAACATGTTTAAACTATTGTTATAAATAAGTTTAGTATTATTTACACACAAAAAATATGATTCTTCTGCAAACAGTGTCAACGCAAATACTTTTGAAATGTAATGGCAGCAGGACAAATGTTCTCCACGAAAGTATTATAGAAATGAAATTTGTCGAGTGATTTATGATTCTATATAGGATAAATTAGAACTAAATCTGGAATAAAGAATAAATTGAAAAAAAATCCAAACGTGACATTTACCGTACAACAATCACAGGAACATTTATGTTTTTTTTTACTGAATGAATGCATGCACTTATTTAGATAGCAAAGATATAACTTTAATTCGTAGCCAAGAACTAGCTCAGTTGTAACTCTGAAAATCGCATATATAGCCATTGCATTTCCGTAAATGTTTGTCATAGTCAATTACTATGAAAAAATAAAGCTGCTTGTTTATGCTCACTTGGCTTGGCCTTGGCACTTGGCTTGGCTTCCTTAACTTCTTGACTGACGCCAATGCGCCATGTTTGTGTTTTTCGGATTTGGCAGAAAAAGCACGTCTACGATAATATAATTCTCTGAAATGTTTTTGTAAAAACACTAAACACATAGTTATTTCATATTCTTCTTCAAGATTAGTTTACGTTTAAAAGTGTAAAAACATATTTTAATCTGGGTTAAAATACATAGCACCAACCACGACTTTGAAAACTTGAAACTAGTTTGGTGAGTTTTTGTGTTGTGTGCTTGAATGCTTCATTTACCCAGATTCACCTCATAATCTCGTTTGGTGTTACACACCTAAATCGGTGATTATTATCGTCGTTTACATATTATCTTATTATTTTGTTGCAGGAATATTATATTTTTCGAAGAAGATGCCTACTATACGTAGATTCTGCTGCGATGACGAGACTGGCGAAATTATGACTTACATGGTAAACGATGAAACTGGTGAGCCTTTCGTAGAGAATGACTCTCCTGTGCACAGTGGATCGAGAAGAATACAGCAAAGAGCAGAGACAGTCAAGAATGCTAAGTTTCCGAAAGGGTATATTACTAAAACAAAGAAGTTTCAGTCTTTGAAAGAGCGCATCATTGCTGGTTCCAACATATTCAGCCACAGACTTCTCCTTCTACCGACATTGACCGTATTTCCTGCATATGTGTGCACTTTTATTGTTATGTTAGAAGTATATCTTCATTTGTGCTGTCATAAACACAACAAACATTTGAAAGATCCGAATTTGTACTATCGCAGCCCTTTTCACATGATAACCAGCACCTTTTGTGGTGTGTGTCGAGACTGTGACACTGCTTCGCGGATCGGCCAGCTCCAAGACCAGAGACGCAGTCGATATGATTACTTTAGGAGCATTGCCATTTAAATATGCATGAAATATTACTACAAAAGACAAGATTTAATTAGTGGTTGCGGTAATATAAATGAATAGCAAAATCATTTTCAGATCAAATGATTCTAAACCATTCTGTAATGTAAAATTTGAAAGATTTCACAAAGGAAGTTTACATAGTTGAAGTAGAAACATTTGCAGCAAAACAGTAATTTAAAAGCAGCCTACCTATTCAGTGTAGTCCATTTAAATGATAAGTCTGTTTTAGTCTTCCATTACATATTTGTCCTATTGAATTGATGATATTTTTGTGCCTGTATCTTATAGTTACATAGTTTAGTAAAAAAATTTGGCTGTGATGTCATAAATTTTAAAACTTGCTTATATCAATGTTAACTATGTAGATTTAGCAAGGTGCTGGGTTAATAAAATCTCTCGGTATTCTAGGTAACGACAATGTAGCATTTGTATATGTATGGAGTTTAATGTAGTAACGAGAAACTATAGTAGTAGATAGGTTAGTACATAAAGTATTAAGATACCTATTTAGCTTGTAACCTGAAACTGCAAGTGCGAATTCATAACATTAATGTTACTATGTCTCCTCAAAATGTGAAATTCCCCTAGGTAGCTAATAAATATTAAGCTCCCTATAATCATTATAATTGTTGAAATTCTGATAATTTAATATTGTGATTCTAGAAAGTACATGACATTATATTATTAAAACGGTGTTGGTGTTTAAAACTTTTAATGATCTGGTATTGTTAGGATATTTTTGTCATTTATTGATATTATTAAGTGTACTTTACTGCTAATAAAGGTTTTATTGATAACAAATAGTTGTTTATCTGAGATATGAAATGAAATTAGCATTCCTTGGCCACTCATGGCGCAATTTGAAAAGGAGTAGGTACTAAGTAATTCTCATAAAGTCGAAACTTATATACTCCTTAGATTATTAATCCAAAGCTACATCATAAGTGCCTTTTTTCAGTGATGCGTGCAGGTCGCATGCAGGCTACCCGCATAACTGCATTTCATTATTTTTACGATTACGCGGGCTACATGCATGCAACCAGCACCGTGATTAAATACGTAGTACGCCACAGATTAGAGAGACCAGGATCCGCATGCGTACCGAAATCCCCATCACAGGAAAAAGGCACTAAATTATGCTGACCAAATCTTGTTTTGCTTATATGGAAATAACTAATGAGATGCACTGCCTGGATTAGACATGAGAGCATAATATGCGAGCGTATTTTTTATTATACTTATTGACGAAGTAGGTTTATGACACTGTTATATTCCAAAATGGCTCACTTGTATCACAGACTTGTATTGGGAAAAATTCCTTGAAAGTACCCACATTTTAAGTCTAATGAAGTGACCATGCTCAAGATGCCTTAGAGATTTGCGAAGGGACAACTTAGGAGGGTTTAAATGAAATCAGTAACACTCAAGATCTCGTACAAGATTAATGCAAACGTTTTCTGCCGAATTCTCCCTAACCCACCCAATATCATGTTTTATATTCTCTGCCTTGGGTTAATTAACACTAAGTTTTTTGTTTACTTGGTTACATTGCTTTGGTAATTAAATAATTTTATGTACCTTGGAAGAGTTATCGATTGTTGGTCTAATGGCGGCCGCTGCGGTAGCGAAAGTAATGAAAACCACTCAGGTGCGTGGGTGCTCTCTCAGGATCACATCGATCAATACCTTCGAGATAGAGGGTTGTTATATGCCTAAACTTTTTTCCTACCATCTTTATATCTAAATTATTATTTAAATACAGGGTGACTTGTAGTGATTGACATCCATGCTATGGCAATATTTACTCTCTAATCTGTGCCAACCACCACCCCAAGTACTGTGACGTCACTGCGAGCAGTGGCAAGCTCCAAATGAGGATTTGCAACCAAATATTAATAGTTATGTTAATGCCTGGGCAAAATTCAACCATTTATGATTATTTTAATTACTTAGTATGGAAAAATCATACGGAGGCAGCTTTAATTCTAAATCAGATAACATTTAAAAGTTAGGTAATAATTTGAGTTATTTATTCAAAGTCAAAGTTTTTTAATGTAGAACTCAGGAACTGTCCAGGGCGTGCTTAAACACGTCCAAAATAAGCTTGCCCTACCAGTACCACCCCACTTCGGGATAACATGGGCTGGTGCTGAGAAGTGGTGGAAGAACTCAATCTCCGTTGTCGGTTGTCGGCCTATATTTCAATAGATTTCAATCAAATTCAACAAATAGGTACTTCGTAATAAGTGCGAGCTAGCCAGGTAAAGTCACGCACTCTTGTGCCTTATATTAGGATTTTATTTTTAACGTAATGGGGTTGAACTTTTTAGAATTATTCCCCATTATAAGCTCCACTTGGCGGTTACGGGGATTAGTGAACTTTTTGTTCACGGGGATTTTCAACGGGGAATAGTGGAATAAGCTCAGATCATAGAAGAGGGAATAATAAACCAGTAAAATGCCTTTATGTCAAGTAACTAAAGTACTAATCTTGCAGTTTCAATATCAGTAAGAAAGAAAGAAGCCTTATTTTTCTTACAGCACAAGCTCAGAACTGAGTCTCAAGGTGTAAAGGACTCCTTTGCAGACAATTTTAAAAAATCCATACAACAAAATAATTAGGTCTTATAAGTTGAAAATTTGCCTAAGCATATACGTAACTAAATTGTCTGCATGATCTGTATCAATCAACTCATACTCATACCTAGGCCTGTGCCAATGAATAAGAATTAATAAGCAATTAATCATAGGGTTAGGTACGCTATATTCCCATACCTATATGCCTTGTCTCGACAGCAATATTAAAAAGTTTTTCGAGGAAAAGGTAAGAAATAAAAAGCGAATGTGAAAAATACAGATTATTTATTCAGTATACATCTAAGCTGCGATATAGTAACACAATGAATGCATGTCGTGATAACACAGTAATAGCCGTCAGACTACCAGAAATAATAATTTAGCTTTCGGTGTGCGTCGATAACAAACACAAAATTTGATTCCAATAGATCGTTTAGAACTTACACCAATTTTTCTCTGACTAAAGTCACCACTGTGTTGTAATTAAATAATAGCGAACTGATATTACAAAGATTTAGTGGTAAATATTTACCGCATAATGAAATGTGTACACAATACTAGAATGATATCAGTCCGCTTAGAAACATACACAAACACCAATACTCGTAGCGATTATAGCAACCTAGAAATGCATGTGATTATTTTGGCTTCTATCTACTTTATAACAAGTATATTTTACTGACGTCATTTCAATATTTACATACAATAAGGTTTCACGATTACAAACAGCTGGCTTACGTAATATGCCGGCAATAGAAGATCTCGTTGGACCAGACCTCTGTAATCTGTCTTGCTCTCTGCCAATCACCAATAACGTTTTGATTTTGAGTGGTACCTTAATTAAAGAGACTTATATAAAGATAAATGCTCTTAAAGTTTATACTGAGCATACAAATACAGACATCGAAAAAGTTGTAAACAATTAAATATCGGTTCCGATATGTGACACTTACATCGACGTGAGTGTAACATTCAAAGCCCTAGCCACACACATTAATTTTTTTCCATGAAAGTCAACGGAGTCTATGAATCCACAACACATATTTTGAAGTCTTACTATCTATGTAAATCACAAGTTATAATCTGAGTGATATACAAGAAATATATAGTACGTAACTAAATAAATCTATAACACTGTCTGTATTGAATGCGTTTAAATCATTCGAAAAAGCAATTAGATACTTTGGTTATACTTTCTGAACATAAGCAAACTGAATGTTACAAGTAATTGAAAATATATTTTTTTCATTAAAATTATGACATCAAGTACTTCCAGTTAAAATTAAGATTTTTCAATATTTCTGAAATTGACGAATTAATAAATAAATGTTTGTAAAACAGAATGTTGCTGTGCTTAAACCGGGTCTATGTTTGAGACTATACAATATATTGTTAAAGACCTTTATGTACAACATAGAATGCAGTAAAGATATTGAATTGAAAGATTTATAATTATTCCCAAATCATCAATAAGAAATAAATTTGAATTTGAAAAAATGATATTTAGGAAAAGTCAAGTAGGCCGAGGATGCAAATTTAGGCTGCTAATAATATTATGTGAATCACTAATGTATACAGACACTTTTACAATCATTCGTGGCCGCAACATTATTTAATTATAACAAAGTTATTTTAAAGGCCTGTAGCGCCGCGTTACACACAAGGTAATAATTATTATTTAACCTTTTATTATAAACTATTGTTAATTCCGCTGTTTTAATAAGAAAAAATCATCAACGCGGCTTGACATCCTCGTAAAAGCATGAAAAGTACTATCAAATACTTCATGTATACCGTCAATAACAAAGTATAAAAAATAACAAAACAAATGTTACACAGAGGATCAACATGCAATAATATAAATTGGAGATATTCCAAGATTTTTTCAATAACATCATATTAAATAATTGTGAATGAGTCACAAGCGGTTTTGAACATTTTTTGCCGGTGACCGAATTGTTCACTGAGAAGGGTATTTCGTGATGTTTAAATTCCTTACTATTCAAATTGTTTAATGCTGTTAAAAAAAACAAGTAAAAAAACTAAAGATTTATTATGTCTACATTTAAATTTCAATTAAATTAAATTCTGACAAATAATTTGAAATAATGAAGTGCTTAATTCTTTTCGCTGTATAATTTTCGGCAGTGAACAGGCATATCTTTGCTACTCAATGTAAACCTACATTTATACGAACCTATAACGAACGCTATTGGTATATTTTCAGAGATATAACCCTTATCACACCTTGATCATTACTAGTTAAGATATGTTCACATTTATAAGCAATGTGGAACATATACGATATACCACACGCCACGTGACTATACATATCTTGACTTCCAATCCCTGTAGATTGATAAAATACTTTTATATTTTGAGTATGTTCTTATTCCTAAAACTTTACTATTCATAACCCATCAGTTGGTTTATCAAGATGGTGAGAAATTCCATTATATAAAAATGTCATCAGAGAGGAATAATAATTTTAGAAAAAAGAATTTTGCCATCCATCGCGGTCTAAATGCTTTTCAAAACTTAACTAAGAGGAATTCAACAATGATATTTGAAAATTTACTTGTTTCCAAATATAAAAGCACCACATTACATGATCACGACCTCTTCTGATGCGCCTACGACGGGACATCACATACTACAATCCATTCAAATTGACGACTCGTAAATTATAATGGATTATAAGAAAAAAAAAAGTATATTAAATCCATGATCGTTTAATCTCTCGTAAAAATAAGTTGGATTTCCTCTTTTAATAGGGGAACACTGAATGTCATGAGAGTTGTTTAGGCTAATTCATCATTATAAAAAAATATTCAACTATGATCATTTTAACAATGAAGAACCTAAGGCTTCTAAATGGTCGATTGTATGGTCATTCTATTTTTTCATTTAATTTAATTGAAATCATCATTCAATATAATTTTATTTAATTGAATTATTTTATCAAGACGCCAGGATTTTAAGCATCGCTAAATTGTTTTTAGGTCCTACCTCACTGGGATGGCTTAGCGTTATCTAGTGAGATGGGACTCCTAACACCTAATATCGTACCCAAAGATTATTATATGCCCATTACTTTAAACATAAATAGTTTTAAAATAATGCACAATAGTGTAGGCATCGTGCCCTCCATTCCGCCCATACACTCAATATAATTTTCTTATAATCTGCCATGTTTAGGCAGGAAAAATCACGATAGCTATAATAAAAAAAACATTAGCTAAGTATAGTAAATGTTACTAAACTAAATTTGCCTAGTTTGTTAAGTATTTAGTTGCATCATATTAGAACCCATTACGTCATGGAATTTATGATAATGAAATAAAATTGGCTATTAATACACGAGTCATTAAAGAAACAGTTAAACATTACTAATACAATTTAATACCTATTAATTTATGTCAAATCATTTGATAGTGGAATAGTGAAACTTAAATGCATATACGTAACCAAAGGCCAGCGGAATGGAGTCTCGATGGATGATGAGAATGGTGTGTACAACATTCTTGGTCTCGCTGCTTATGATCCGAACTTGAATTTGGTTGGTACTTGTGCGGGGACCGTGAACGAGTAACCTGAAAAGAATTCATCAATAATTAAATCACTGTAAATTATACTATACTGTAATTTATTGCCACATCTTTATTATTTGTATACAAGATGGCAGTCTAATCTTTTTTCCTTTCAATCTTTACTTTACATTGAGCACGATCTACAGTTCATTGTAGCAACAAGTTCAGCTCATTTAGACTGAGCGTCTGTCGGTATAGATCGTTTCTAGAGATGAAACGGATAGTTGTTTGGCCGGATACCGGATACCGGATATCCGGCCAGCTGCTAGGCCGGATAGCCGGATATCCGGCGGCCGGATAGTTGGCCCATTGTCTCGTTGCATGTCGTGACGAGTATAGTGCCGCACAGGTGCTTCGAACGCGATCAGTGGGTCTATTAGTAGAATAGACTAGTCACACTTTTGGAAAATCGAATCCGTCCGAATAAAATGTCAGATTTTGCCACTTCTAGTCTAAGGGGCAGATCAATTCAATTTCGCCTGCAATCGTGAGTGTGTGATTGAATAGCGAAAATTTAACTATACTGGTCATCACAAAAATCGGCCCACCTACGTTTTACAGGAAAACTCATTTCTACTGACACAGTCATGGTGCCCCAACAATATTGGTGTTATTTGAAAGCCCAATAAATATCCTTAAAGAAAAACACATTTAATTTCTTAATAAACGATTAACATAAACGCGATATACAAATTATATGTCACCATAAAATTGTGAATTCCGTCGGATTATAATCTGACGTAGTTAAATTACAATCTAACCTAACCTAACCCACTGTTAGTTTACAATCTAACGCGTTATATTATAAACTGACAGAGTTCACAATTTCACGTTGACATATACAAAACCGGCCAAGTGCGAGTCGGGCTCGCGCACAAAGGGTTCCGTAGCAGCAACAGTTAAATCAACCTATCTCAAAAACTATAAGAGATACTTTGATCAAACCAAAAATCGTTGAAAGAGTTAATTAGCATGCATCACCTCTATTTTTTTTAGAATTTTATACCCCGTAGTTATAAAAATAGAGGGGGGGGGACATACTTTTTACGACTTTGAGAGCTGATATCTCAAAAACCGTTCACTTTAAGAAAAATGTTTTTTAGAAAACTTTATATCATTTTAAAAGACCTTTCCATTGATACCCCACACGGGTATGTACATCGAAAAAAAATTTTCATCCCTCAGTTACATGTATGGGGGGCCCCACCCCCAATTCTTTTTTTTACTATTTAGTGTCATAATTTTGTAGCGGTTCATACAACACATATTCCCATCAAATTTCATCACTGTAGTACTTATAGTTTCCGAGTAAATCGGCTGTGACAGACGGACAGACGGACAGACGGACAGACGGACAGACGGACAGACGGACATGACGAAACTATAAGGGTTCCGTTTTTGCCATTTTGGCTACGGAACCCTAATAAATGTGACTTGAAAAAAGACTTCACTTTGGGCTCACCTCTGGGATCAATTAGACCAATTTTTATGGTTATAAAACCAAATAATGATCTCACGTGTCATCTTTAACAGATGGATAGCGATTAATCCCAACTGTTTTATAGCCATAAAAGTCGGCTCAAGCGTAACTACCTATTTTTTTAAGAAGTCACTCTGGATTGTTCTACAGACACATTTTTGGGGTAAAACCCTTTCCTTTAATGAAATGAAGTTTAGAACTAGGCTTTTAAATGGTGCCAATGTTGGTGGGAAGTGGGGATGCATACGTTTGAAAGTGCTTGTCGCGGGAGGGTCGATCTTTGTGATGACCAGTGTAGTTGCATCATGTCATCAGACCATCAGTGAAAAAAAAAATTGCCTATTTTTTTTGGCAATATTTCGACATTAACAGATATTTACTATTTATCTATGTATTCGTCATTAGAGTGAATAGCCCAGAAAAATACACTCAGCGGCACGGAATTTGGCCCAAGCCTAGACACCCAGATATGAGGCCAAATAGGTGTTGTATACCCAAGTTTCGTGTGACATGTTTACAGAACATTTGTTTTTGTTAATTTAAGAGGCTAGATTTATAAAAAAAATGCGTCTGTTTAACTTTTTTGACTCTAGAAACTCATTTCGTTGTTGGAGCGTAAAGAGTACGGGTAAGTTTAAATTCGATATTAAATGTTGTAAGGGTTTGGCGTTTTGTTTTTGTTTTTAAATTAATCTTGGGGTTATTCTCGTTTCCATAATTTGAGAATAATGCCCATTACTCCAGCTCAAGTTGGTCAAATAGTGATGCTTAGAAGTCAAGGGCGTATGCAGCGGGAGATGGCTGAAACTTTCAATTTATGGCGTACAAACTTAAGATACACGTTAAAAAGGCATGACTAGACCGCCATTTACACAAGAAGACCAAGAAGTGAAGAATTAAGGTGTAACTCAGCGCTCGATGACCCGATTATCGTGCTTTCAATATCAAGAAATCGGGTTCTCACCACGTTTGAGATACGCCAGCGTTTACAAACAGCAAGCCCAGTGAATGTCAGTGAGCACACAATAAGAAAAAAGATGGAGGATCATAACCTGCATACTCGAAGACCAGCTCGAGGACCAGAACTTCTCCGATACCTTCGCGAAGTGCGACTTACGTTTTCTAGAGAACATGCAAATTGGACGCAAGGCTAATGGAGTAAAGTTCTATGGTTCGATGATTGCAGAGTCACCTTAAGAGCTCCAGACGGCCGTGGAAGTGTATAGAGAAGGTGCGGAGAAGAGTTACTACGCAAACAGACAGTTTTCATAACAAGTTTGCTTTATTAGTCTAACGTCCAATTTGCATGTTCTCTAGAAAACGTAAGTCGCACTTAGCGAAGGTATCGGAGAAGTTCTGGTCCTCGAGCTGGTCTTCAAGTATGCAAGTTATGATCCTCCATCCTTCTTCTTATTGTGTGCTCACTGACATTCACTGGGCTTGCTGTTTGTAAACGCTGGCGTATCTCAAACGTAGTGAGAACCCGATTTTTGATATTGCAAGCACAATAATCGGGTCATCGCGCGCTGATTTACATCGTAATTCCCCACTTCTCGGTCTTCTTGTGTAAATGGCGGTCTAGTCAAGTCATGCCTTTTTAACGTGTATCTTAAGTTTGTACGCCATAAATTAAAAGTTTCAGCCATCTCCCGCTGCATACGCCCTTGACTTCTAAGCAACACTATTTTAGCAACTTGAGCTGGAGTAATGGGCATTATTCTCAAATTATGGAAACGAGAATAACCCTAAGATTAATTTAAAAACAAAAAACAAAACGTCAAACCCTTACAACATTTAATATCGAATTTAAACTTACCCGTACTCTTTACGCTCCAACAACGAAATGCGTTTCGAGAGTCAAAAAAGTTAAACAGACGCATTTTTTTATAAATCTAGTCTCTTAAATTAACAAAAACAAATGTTCTGTTAACATATGTCACACGAAACAGGTATACAACACCTATTTGGCCTTATATCTGGGTTTTTAGGCTTGGGCCAAATTCCGTGCCGCTGAGTGTAAATTAGTTTTGAAAGGCCTTAATATGGCTTTTTTGTAACTTTTTCGACTTTAAATAAAAGCTGTCATTATTGTAAGCCATTTTATTGATATTTACCTCAAAGATTAATGTATTTCATTTATTTATAGGAAATTGTCGTTTTTTTTTTAATATCCGGTATCCGGCCGGATAGTGAGTTACTATCCGGTATCCGGCCGGATAGTAAATTAGGGCCGGATATCCGGCCTACCGGATAGTTGCCGGATATCCGTTTCATCTCTAATCGTTTCATCCACGAAGACGTGCCCCACCACTTTTTGGTTGAGGGAAGCGCGGGGTGCGGGGAGTTCGATCCGAGTAATCCGAGCGTCGTTATTGTAGTGTGCGTGTGCACTCATGGATGGATACTTTCATGTTTATGGATGACGTCTCCATAGAAACACATTGTTTACTAATAAAAAATCATGAATTTTCATGAAAAGTTATTTAATATAGTTCCAAAATACTGGACTGTCCTGTCGATGACATTGACAGTGGGGCGCCACCGTCAATACCGGATCGCTGGTTCAGATTTTTGCCATGTTGGAAACCATATAGTTGAACGATGGTAGCGCCCCCCTGTCATTGAGTTTGGCGGGACAGTTCAGCGTGGGTCATCTATAATAGGCGACGTTAGACATGTCAAAGTCAAAGTCAAAATTTCTTTATTTGTTTAGACTAATAAATAGTTCTTAAATGAAAATAAAAAAAAATTAAACGAATTAAGAGCAGCCCTGAAGGGCAGCCTTACACAAACACAGAATATTGTAAGTACAGACGAAGAGATTACGTTACGAAACTCGCCGCACCCCGCGCTTCCCTCGACCAAAAAGTGGTGGGGCGCGTCTTCGTGGATGAAACGATTTATAGTACTGTATTGCTACCTTAGATATTCAAATTTAAATTGTGGTCAGTCGCATTTTGGGTGCGCATGAGTTGCGACAGAGAGAATAGGTCTATTCCATTTTGATCGCCTGTCTTTGATCAACTAGCTGATCAAAGTGGACCCCAAGCGACAATTTGGTGTCCTTTGATCACTCATGGATAAGATGACCTGGGTGATCAAAGTGGACATGTGACTATTTAAGAGGATGTGTTATATATTTATAGGAGATAAAGAAACTAAAATAATAATTTAACTGGAGTCCACTTTGAGCAGCCAGGTCATCTTATCCATGGGTGACCAAAAGACACCAAGTTGTCGCTTGGGGTCCACTTTGATCACCTGGCTGATCAAAGTGGAATAGACCAGAGAATAGCCCCGTTTAACTGGAGTCCACTTTGAGCAGCCAGGTCATCTTATCCATGGGTGACCAAAGGACACCAAGTTGTCGCTTGGGGTCCACTTTGATCACCTGGCTGATCAAAGTGGAATAGACCAGAGAATAGCCCCGTAGTGCTGTGCCAAAGAGAGCGCTACATACCGCCGCTCTGTTCGATGCGCTTGCTGTCCTGCTGAGCCTTGCGCTGGTCGGCGAGGAGCAGCACTCCCTTCAGCTGCTTCTGCTGTTCCTCGTTCAAGCCGCTGGTCAGCGCGTGGTACAGCACTGGGTCGTTGGTCGATAGCGCTGTGTCGACAAATATCACGTTAGAACATGGGTCTCCAAACTACGGCCCGCGGGCCATATCCGCCCCGCCGCTGCCATCAATCCGGCCCGCGACAGCTTAAGACTAAGCCTATGTTTGCACAGGTGGGCAGAAAAAATAAAATTGTTATGGCCCTTGCAACATACCGAAAAAAATATGATGGCCCCAAACCTTCAAAGTTTGGAGACCCCTGCATTAGAACATTATACAGAGCTACATTTTAGGGATCATGCACAATTGTACACGGCGTATTTAGTTTGAGTAGACACACACGACAGTCGGACACAATTTACTGAAGTTAGTAGGAAAAAAGTGCATCGTCGATGCGTTTAAAAAACGTGGTGTGCACGCACAGGCGCTAAAATTGAAGTGGACATTTGTCATAAATGACTTATGAGTAACGACGTCATTAGTAATTTTGTAAACATGTTAGAGGTAATTCTTGGAAGATTTAAAACACTAATGTTTGAAACAATACTCAATACTACGGCGCAATACTGTTTTTATATGTTAAAGCACAGAATTTCACGAACTGGTGATAACCAATGAAATAGACAAACAAAATGCACACTTTGTACTTAACGCAAATTTTTTTTCAAGTAAATTACTTCCAATTCACTTATTTATTTACTTTAAAATTTTCAACGATATAATAGAGTGTACCTGTCAATGTGTTCTTGAATTTGATATATTCGTCTACAGGACAGTCTTTCTCGTCTAAGGGTGTCGTGTAGCATTCGAAGGCTGTCTCATCGGGCTCAAAGTCTTCATCGTCCTGTAAAATGAAAACAAATTAGTTTTTCACAATAAAACTATGAGAACTATTGCAATGGTAGTTTAGTTTAGCAGCGCCCCCCTAGACAAGTTGCACTTTTTGATCGAATCGAATCCGTCAAAACTCCATACAAAAAAAGCCTTTCGACCACTTTTAGACTGGTTTGCGATTATAATTTGCTGGTGTGGTTGACAATTTGACACCATTCCGCAATAATTCGAAATCACAACTTTTCTAAAAAGACACTTCTTCATCCTGGTCTTAAAAACTTTATTAATTTTAAATTACCTGTAAATTACGATTTTTGGTCGCTTTATAATTGAAAAAAGTAGTTTAATTGAGTTGACAAAATAGTGACGTCACTTGCTTGTAGTGCCATACATTTTCGTTTTGACAGTTAAAAAGTACGTCAATTGATTGGTGGTGTCAATGTTACAGGAAATGTATGAAATCTAGGAAATGTATACCATTCCTAGGAAATGTATACAATTCCGAAGCTATTTAGGAAATGTATAAAATATTCCATCAGAGATTTTTCCATACGTTCATATCCTAGGAAATGTATACTTTTCCTAGGAATTTTATAGAATTCCAATATTGTATTAGGAAATGTATAAAACTAAGCAGCACTAGCGCGGTCGCGTGATCGGGTGCCCCTCGGTACGCCTAAAATTTCATTTTATCAAACCACATTGGCCGATAGGTACTTTTATAGCCTGACCAGGAACATAAAAACCCTGGCATAGAGGCGCTTCAATTGCATTTGATAGTGCAACACTGAGTACAGTCGTACCTGTGTTAAATTAATAGGCTAACTTTATGTATCAGGATTCAGGATTACGGGCTAATTTGATATTTTCATAAATTAACGAAAAAATATTATTATAGGTAACCTGATTTAAATAAATTAAATGAAACCATCAATCGAGCTAGTAGATTTATTTTATTATTCATCAATAATCAAATTCAGAACTTGAATATTCAACTGCAATGTCTGCTCATGAACGCTTCAAACTCGGTACTTCTTTCCCAATCCCATAAAATTCAACACTTAGAAAGTGACAAAATTTTTAAAATAGGTAGTTGAAACAAACCACAGCTAATTTTCATAGTGGACTGTACTATGCGATAAACATGTCAGTCAATTTGACAACCTTTGTCGGAAACATTATTCAATGAAAATATTGTCCGAACCCTTAGTATTTCTCTTCGACAAATACTTTAACACATTGTGAACCACTTTTCTTTCACGACTATAAAAATATTTTAGCAATTTAATTCATAAAACCAATTGCGCACATTTAAAATAAAGTTTGTTTACACTTTGACAGCAATAGACTGACATGCAAGGTGACATGACAATGAAGTTTTCAGTTACTGTTGCCATTAAAAGAAATTAGTACCATTAGTTTTCCGCAACATGGCGAGGGTTTTTATGTTCCTGGTCAGGCTATAACTCACATTATTATTGTTTAGCCTGACAGTTGTTTTCGCACTATTATACTTTGGCCGAAAAAAACATTTGCCTAAAATTTATTGGCATACCTTTCATTCGGCATCACGCATATTACGCTGAAGTATTGGAAATCCCTAATTATAACATCTGTAAACTTTCATTGACATGAAAGTTTTAGTACTCCTGTAGCTGGATAATAAAGTCTCGGTTAGGTTAGGTTAGACTTGCGACCTTACACATACACAGCTGCCGCGGTAGCGGCCGCCGAGCGCTATTTAAGTTTCGGAGAAAAAAAAGTGGCGTAAATAAAAATAATTTTGTGTAAAAAAATTTAGGCTTAAAATTTGTGTGCCATAGACAATTAGACGTACAAAAAATTTGGCGATTAGATAGGGACCCCGCGTAATCGGATGATGCAATACCCTTCCCTCGCAACGCATGTCCACGCGTATACATTGAAATCTTATTTTACATTTCCGATTGCTGTTTAGGAAATGTGTCTAATATAATTTACATCACACATTTCCGGGTGATTTTAGGAATTATACACAATTCCTAGGAATTGTATACAATGACGGGTTTCATACATTTCCTGTAACATCAACATGTCTATTCGCCGTGTACTCACGTCGTCGCTCTCCTCGTAGTCCTCGATCTTGGCAGTCATGTTGACGCCCTGGGCGGCGCTGTTTTTCATACTCATGCGTGCGAGGTTCTCCAGGTATTCGCTGTTCATGTCGTCTAGGTCGTCTTCGTCGCTGGACAACACCTCTGCTGGATAGAAAGACACTATGGTATCAAGCAGACCTAGTTTAAACGTTAGCTTTGTTTGTTTACTTTATATCAATCCTATGAAATGACTTTGTAAAGAATTTATACTTGCTGCCCTCTGTTTTTTAAGTGACTAATCAACTGATTTAAATATTTTTTATTGCATAAATAAAAATTGCTAATAATCCTAAAAAAAATATTATCACCACTGTCAGTAAATATTGTGAAAAAATTAATAATATCTTGTTATTTTACAATATTAGACAATTTTGGACAATGGTAGTCAATAGCATTATTGCCATAAACATTAAAATTGTTTCAGCGAGAAATGAGCCTATTGGTGACTAAACAGGGTTTGTTTTATTGCTGGAAATCCTTTATCAGCCAAAACAATATCTCCATTTTCTAAGTGGTCTGTCTACAAATCCTGACTCTATAGTTACAATCCACAATAACACATGTTACTAGAACCATATTAAAATTAGAAAAATTTTGTTTACTACAATATGTATTTGACAGCTCATGCAAGTCAGCGGACAAAATGACAATTTTAGCCGCAGCGAGCGCTGTGATCGTTTAGGCTACTCCCTCCATCCGCTTTGCACCCTGCCAATGCCAATAAAGCTGTAATACATGTTTATTCCCTCGTACGTAACGTCGCTAATCCGTCGGGCTATGTCAGCGACTTTAGTTCGTTTACGATCTCCTCATTTCTGATTCGATCTCGTAAAGAAACACCGAGCATAGCCCTCTCCATAGCACGCTGTGCAACTTTGAGCTTCTGTATAAGGCCTATAGTGAGAGGCCACGTTTCCGAACCATAAGTTATCACTGGTAACACACATTGGTTGTACACTCTAGTCTTCTGGCACTGAGGTATTTTGGACGAAAAGATGTTGCTCCCAGCGTAGGACGTCCACCCACAAGGTGGACCGACGACATCGTAAAGGTAGCGGGAAAGCGCTGGACGCAGGCCGCTACCAACAGGGTAACATGGAAAGCATTGGGGGAGGCCTATGTTCAGCAGTGGACGTCCTATGGCTGGGATGATGATGATGATGATGTACCGTCGTCTTCGTCGTCGTCGTCGCCCTCCGACGAGGACGAGTCGTCGGCCTCGGCGCGCGCCTCGTACGCGCGCTTTAGCCCGTCGAACAGCACGAGGCACGACGGGAGTAGCTTCGGCACGATCTCGTCCAAGTTCGGCCGCTGCGGGCCCATCTCCAGGAGTGTACAGATGCCGAGCACGCAGAGTTTTCTGTCGTGCAGGCTGTACACAAAAAGAGGTTAATTAATCTATACCAGTCTTTCCCAAAGTGGGCGATAACGCCCCCTTGTGGGCGCTGCAGGCTTAAAGGGGCGCGGTAAGAGACCCAGAAAAAAAATCGAGAAGTTGTGTAGAGGCTTGGGAGGCGTCATCTACTAGGAGGACTCTTAGACATCGACTGAGCTCGACCCTTGACTACGAAAATGGGGGGCGCTAAAAAAGAATTTATTCTCAAAGTGGGCAGTAGACTAAATAAGTTTGGGAACCACTGATCTATACTAATATTAAAAAGTTGAAGAGTTTGCTTGTTTGTTTACTTGAACGCGCTAATCTCAGGAACTAGGTACTGGTCCGATTTGAAAAATTCTTTCATTGTTAGATAGCCCATTTATCGAGGAAGGCTATAGGCTATATACCATACCATCATGCTACGAGTAATAGGAGCAGAGTCAACATGAAAATTCCTTTATTTGCATGGACTATTGAAAATAGTGCTTACAAATCGTCAAATATAAAAAAAAGACTAAACTTTTGCTCTTATGGAGCCTTCACATGTCTCTAATCTTTTTGCTCTACCAGTGCTTCGAGACCATCATTTGGCAAGTGCTGAGAAGAAGCGCCGCAAGTCACCACTGTCTGCCGGTTAAAATGTATAGTAAGTAAGTAGTTGATATGCCTCAATAAATAAATAAATAAGTAGCTTTTTTTGGTGCAGACTGTAGGCAGAGAAGTGGGAAGGTTCGTCCGGGTTGCCACAGTTCCTCGAGTGACGAAGCACCGGGGTTTTTACCGTGCTATGAATCTCATATTTTGCATGGCGGTTCCTTTTAGAACGTAGCTGCTCACTAAGACGGGATTTTGCAAAATTCAACCCCTAAGGGGGTAAAACGGGATTCAACGCAACCGCTGCGGGCGCGGGTGAAAATCACGCCGTGAGTTTTTAGCCTTATGTTCTTAAGCAGTGGTTCCCAAACTTATTTAGTCTACTGCCCACTTTGAGAATAAATTATTTTTTAGCGCCCCCATTTTTGTAGTCAAGAGTCGAGCTCAGTCGATGTCTAAGAGTCCTCCTAGTAGATGACGCCTCCCAAGCCTCTACACAACGTCCCGATTTTTTTTCTGGGTCTCTTACCGCCCCCCTTTAATCCTGCAGCGCCCACAAGGGGGCGTTATCGCCCACTTTGGGAAAGACTGTTCTTAAGTGTACAACTAAACATACCCCATGAAGCAGTCGGTGTCGTGTATCCATTGCTTGATGAAGTGCTGCGTGATGGACGCGTTGGGCACAGACTCCTGCAGCTTGTCCAATATCGTAAACAGCAAGTGTGGGTTGCAGTACAGTATCGCTATCAGTACCTGCACAATATGAAATATGTTTTTTTTTTTTATCCACAACGAGGAAGCTCTTGGCCTGTATCTCACCTGATGGTAAGTGACGATCAGGCCGAAGGTGGAAGCGAGCTTCACCCGGAATCCTCAACCACGGAGGAACTGGCTATCTTATCTCTAACTGCCGGAACACAACAATGCTGTTAACATTGTTGTTATGGCGACAGACTTAGGTAAGATGGTGGTAGCTAGCCAGGCGGGCTTAGAACAAGCCCTACCACCAACCAAACCGAACAGAAAAATCTGCCCCCACTGGGAATCGAACCCGGGACCTCTGCGTCTGAAGCAGGTGGTCTTACCACTAGACCACAGAGGCGTTTAAGGCGGTTATGTTTCAGCAATACTAGTGATAAAACGCCCAGAAACTAATGTATAAATACAGTCAAATTTAGACAGTGACAGTTTACTCTGCAGCTTACTTCAAGTTGTAGTAATAGTACAAGTAATTTAATCTAAATCTCGAGTTAGAAGACAATCTAATGTTGTATCCACACTGAAAAAAATGTTTGGTTACTGCTTATACAACAAAAGTGACCACCGAACTAAGTGTTAACTATAACCAAACTAAATCCTGCTCACTACCGAATTATTTGTTTAATTTACACAACATTTTGTTCCTCATAACCAAAGTGTTCGGTGGTCACTTTTGTTGTGTAAGCAGTAACCAAACATTTTTTTCAGTGCAATGTTTTGAACACATAAGGTAGGCTCTCAAAGTTTTTACGGAATATATTTTGATAATAGGTAGGTACTATTCATATAATCGTATAACTATTTGACGTGCCATTTGATACCTTAATTTAAGTTCCATTAAAATCTCTGAACAACTCACTTGCAGCAACATAGTCCTCAGTTCGGAAGTCTTCACTTTGCGCGTAAGCCTGTTGAGCACCAGCTCCACGAATGAGGGCAGGCAGTTGTCAATCTTGCCCGAACATTGCAGAACCATCACCTCTAACAGTTTGGCTGCGATGATCTCTGACTCGTCTTCGGCTTCGGCGTTCGAGTTCAGCACCTGTGGAAGACAGAACAGTTCAGTTAAGTTCAGAATTATCAAATTTTTGTTAACTTAAGCATTATAAAGAATGCATGAGCATATATAGTCTGGTCTGTGAGCACGTAGAGTTTTGTCCAATGACCCCGAGCTACCCATCCTTATCGCTCGCGCGTAATTATGTTGCTGTCGCGCTCGCACACTCACTGCAGGCGCCCGTCGCAGTCGTGACAGCAATATAATATTACGCGCGAGCGATAAAGATGGATAGGTTCGGGTCATTGGACTAAATTCTACGTGCTCACAGACCGGGCTTTAGCTGGTTTATACATTGCTAAGTCGTAGGGCTTCCAATATACTTCAAATTCGCCTTTGTTGTAAGAATATGTATAAGCTTGCAACTTTTGCGTATTATTCACATCGCAACATGCCTGCGATAAGATTTCTGCACAAGTGCACATTCGCTTTGCAATATCGATGATTCCTATAATTTTTAAGATCAGACCTGAATCTTTGCAAGTTTATTTGGATGTATGCAACCAGTACCTTTTCATTATCTCACATGGGACTATATTTTTAAGTTTGATCCCTTTCATCACACTAAGTTGTATTGGGATAAGCCAGAAACTTCTCAACATTCAAACAGTATGACTTGGTATCTATCAAACTAGGATCGTGTTTATTAAATGTGTATCATCGAAACGTTCGCTCGCACCAGAATACATTTTTGAACCGATAGAAAACCCATTCGTTTGCAAAATCACACAAATGTTATACAAAATTCAATGATTTGTGTAAATTCATATGCGATTTGGAATTCTAATGTTTCAAAAATACGTATTCAGGGATCATCTGTGTCACATTCATATTTGATTTGCAAATACCCTCTGACCTGACAGATTGCAATCCCATGTATAGCAATCCAGGAATCTATATATACAGGGTGTTTCTTGTAAGGTGTCAAGCCGAAGGCAGGTGATAGGTGAGGACTAGACCTATCGATTTCACCCCCATGTATGTTCTACGATTTTTCGTAGTTTAGAAGTTATCGTTAATTTTGTGATTTTTTCAAATTTCATGACCTAGTGGCTTAATTTTTTTTTAATCTTTTTTTTGGGTTGACTTTTCTCAGATTTCTTTTTTTTGACAGATTCCCTATTAGTTGCAGATATTTGAAAAAAATAATCACCTTCCTATCTTTGATGCAAGATACAAAATTTTTGCTAGAAACGTAAAAAATATGCTTTTAGCAGAACATTATAAAATTTTCAACTGAAATGTATGAGAAAAAAAAAGAATTTCCATAGGTCCAAAATAATTTTAAAAACTGCGCAGTTTTCTAAACTTTCATAATAACACAAAAAAACATGTACTTAATAGGCCATTATTTTCTGTAATCGCTCAAAACATGTAACGGAATCTCCGACTTACCACTTTAGTGGAGCGATTACAGAAAATAATGGCCTATTAAGTACATGTTTTTTTGTGTTATTATGAAAGTTTAGAAAACTGCGCAGTTTTTAAAATTATTTTGGACCTATGGAAATGATTTTTTTTTCTTATACATTTCAATTGAAAATTTTAGAATGTTCTGCTAAAAGCATATTTTTTATGTTTCTAGCAAAAATTTTGTATCTTGCATCAAAGATAGGAAGGTGATTATTTTTTTCAAATATCTGCAACTAATAGGGAATCTGTCAAAAAAAAGAAATCTGAGAAAAGTCAACCCAAAAAAAAGATTAAAAAAAAATTAAGCCACTAGGTCATGAAATTTGAAAAAATCACAAAATTAACTATAACTTCTAAACTACGAAAAATCGTAGAACATACATGGGGGTGAAATCGATAGGTCTAGTCCTCACCTATCACCTGCCTTCGGCTTGACACCTTACAAGAAACACCCTGTATAAAAATGAAACCCGTTTCGCGTTGTCACGGCATCACGTGTGAACGGCTGAACCGATTTCGATAATTCTTTTTTTTAAATGTTTGTGGAAGTCCAAGGATGGTTCTTACGGAAAAAAATATTAAGAAAATCTCTACGCTAAGGCGGTACGAAGTTCGCCGGGTCAGCTAGTATTGAATAATTGATATTTGGTACCGTCAGCGGTTTAGCATTATTATTCAGCGATTGATTTAATATTAAAAAGGCAGTCGCTATGGTCATACAGAATTCGCAGACGACATGAAACAAATTGATTGTTCGACATTCAGTATGCGTGAATTAATGTAAAAGCAGTTTACGTGCACTGAGATCAAAGTAAATTATGTATTTGGGACTGTAATGGTGTTGTTATTACGTCATAAGGTATGTCCTAACATAAAAACATGTTTTTACGAAGCCTTTTCCATAGTAAATATCAATTTAAACAAGTATTCAACGCCCGTTTAACTTTTAGCCCCTACCCGTCTTTTTCAGGTGCATAGCTGAGATCAAATAAGATAATGATATGGTGAATATTTTGGCGTTTTATCGAATCATAAAAGAAACCACAGCTGTTTCAGGGCAGAGGTTAAGGGGCGAAAGTCACGAGCCGACCTTCGTCCTTCTGACATCTGATATTTAGCGTTGCCGCACGCTAGCTTTCCGAACTTTGGCAGACGACCTTTTATAGACAGCTGACAGTTTGGAAAATGAGGTCTAAAATTAAACCTAATAATAAAATTATGTATCGAATTACGATACTTTATATTGTAACAGTATACACAAGTTAGCACATTATGGATCAATCGATAAATCGTGCTGAGAAATACTAATACAAAATACTTGTATTGAGGTTAACCATCCTATATCAAGAAAGGAAGGCAGACCGTATTCAATTCGCTAAATTGATTAAAAATGATATTATATTTTATTAATTTTGACCACTACTAGTGTCATTTATTAACGTCAATTAATAATTGACAGATTGATATTGGGCAGCAAATGACTCGGGTCCCGTTTATTAACGACCTCTTAATTCAATATCTAGTTCTGACATGCGTACGCCGAAGCTGTCCCGGCACGTCTGGGGTTATTTTTAGAATATCCGATATGCCTTTGCCAGAAATGGCGTGAGACGAATAATTATAATAATAACGAAGTTTAGAATGGTATTAAATACAAAATTTAGTTATTTATTTAGAAAGATAGAATGACGTAAGATTACTAAGTTATTAAGGTTAAAACAAATTGATATTTACTTACTTCAAAATTCCCTATAAACGTAATTTTTCTTGTCCAAGAGAAGCATTTCGTTAGGATAATAATCTATCGGTTCTGAGCTCCCAAGGTTCTAAGAAATTGCTCCATTACTTGTATTGACCAACTATAATTGCTGTTTACATACAGTTCCGAGGCACAGTAGAAATGGATTTGGTAGTAATCTCACCTTCAGATCTTAAGCAAACTGAGAAAGATTTGATTTGGAGGTAAGTTTAAACTCAGTAATTCTAATTACTGTAATCCTCTAATTTCTGTAGGCTCAAGGTCACCCAAAGAGCGATGGAGCGTGCTATGCTCGGAGTTTCCCTGCGTGATCGAATCAGAAAGGAGGACATCCGTAGGAGAACCAGAGTGACTGACATAGCCCGCAGAATCGCTAAAATAAAGTGGCAGTGGGCGGGCCACATAGCTCGAAGAGCTGACGGCCGCTGGGGCAGGAAAGTTCTTGAGTGGCGACCACGAGCCGGAAGACGTAGCGTGGACAGGCTTCCCACTAGGTGGACCAACGATCTGGTGAAGGTCGCGGGAGGTGCCTGGATGCGAGCGGCGCAGGACCGGTCTTTGTGGAAATCCTTGGGGGAGGCCTTTGTCCAGCAGTGGACGTCTTTCGGCTGAAACGAACGAACGAACGAACGAATCCTCTAATTATTGTCTACCCTCACCATTTCTTACTAATGTATCAATGTTTTGCTAAAGAAGGAATTCGAAGAATGTTCTGTGAATTCCTACTAACAAACGATGCTTAGCTTCTCTGATGTAGGTACAGTCAACCGCACATCAGAATATACAGTTTCGTTGCAAAACAGCTCCTAATTACAACTAGGTAAGATGCCGCGGTGTTAGGCTTGACGAGATATTGTCTCTCTCTTTTAGATTCCAACGTAGATTCTATTAGCCAGGGTTTTCCAAATTATGGGTCGCGAGCGAACATTGAGTGGGCCCTGTCTGTAGAAAGTCCTTTATTTTAGGTTTATTGGTAACTAGCGGCCGCCCGCTACTTCATACGCGTGGATCCCGTTTTACCCCTTTAAGGGTGGAGTTTCGTAAAATTCTTTCTTAGCGGATGCCTACGTCATAACATCTACCTGCTTGCCAAATTTCAGCCTGATCCGTCCAGTGGTTTGGGCTGTGCGTTGATAGATCAGTATGTCAGTCAGTCAGTCAGTCACCTTTGAGTCAAGTTTGGGAACTTGTATTAGATGGGTCGTAGCCCAGACAACTTTGGGAACCACTGCATTAGACTGTCATCTTAAAATATTGTGACATTCGTTGGGCATAATGATTAATCTCAAGGACTTAAGGATTTAACGATTTATTTAAGAAACGCGAGATTGTTGACTAATACGAAAACCGGCACTCAAGAACTTTCCTACCCCAGCGGCCATCAGCTCTTCGAGCTATGTGCCCCGCCCACTGCCACTTGATTTTAGCGATTCTGCGGGCTATGTCAGTCACTCTGGTTCTGGTGGACTGGTCTTTGTGGAAATCCTTGGGGGAGGCCTTTGTCCAGCAGTGGACGTCTTTCGGCTGAAACGAAAGAACGAACGAAAACCGGACAGTGGAAGTCAGACAGAAGTTTCCGACCATTGCACAATATTGTACAGGTGCCAAATAAATAAAAGCTAACAACAAAACACGTTCTCCTCGCCTTCTTATTTTTCCTTTCTGGTATAAATGTTATAGCTGCATCAGAAATTATTTTTGTTTACATTTTACCTGTCCAATTTATAACGGATCAAGAGAAACCGCCCGCGATAGACCTACAAAACGGGGAAATATTAATAATATGCGAAATATACACGCAATAAGTGCGTGACTGGCTTCTAATACCCTTTGGGGGTAAGGCTACTGCCCCTACCCTTGTTACTCCAGAGCCCGACCGCTTGTAACATTCAAACGGCATCGTTAGGCTTCCCAAGGCAAAGCAAATACAAGAAGACCTGATATTGGCATGCAGGGCTGTCAACTGTCGGAGTTTAAAAAGTGCAGGCAACGTCTAAAATCAATACCAAGACTTCAGGAGATTTCGAAGAAGAAATGTGAAGAATGAACAATGAAGAAATTGTGCGAAGACGTTTTGTGTGTACAAAGAAACTTTTACACTTAAACTTATGATTCTCTTAATTTAATGGTCAATAAGGGTTCCTTGACACGACTACGGAACCCTAAAAACTAAATATAACGTCATGAATATATTTCCACAGAAGTTACTTTTCTTTGACTGCAAAATTGATGGTCTAAATTAGAGAATATTTTGTAAAAAGATATCTTTCAAAAAGTTGGCAGCCCTGGTTGGTATTGATCAAACTAAATGTTAGTTGCAACGTTCTTGTTTGAGTTACGATTAATAACCTTTTTACTCGATTGGCTTTCGAATAAAATTCCTAAAAATAACAGTAGACATTAATCATAATAATCATAGTCATAAAATCTTTATTGCTTCATGTGGTACAGTAAACATTACTCAACTTACTGAAAATTTTTCAGAAAACATTTTGTAAATTGGTCAATTACTTACATAATTACGTATTTTATATGACTTCGCTTCATTGAATAGATTACTTTTCCGCTTGCCTAAGTTATTTCATAACCAAAAATAGAGTAAATAAAATGTAGTCGAAATGTTAGAGCAAAAGTATGCAGAATAAGTCACAGGAGAATCGTTAGTATAATATGCATCATTTTTACATCTACGAACTTCATCTACAGTCAAAACACCTTGAAATCTACTCGAACGAGAAAATAAAAGTCCATCGATTTAAGAAGTAGCATTTCCCAGTGAGTGTTACACACGACTCCGCTTTATTTTTTATAGATGCGTCATCCTTATTTCCCACGTACATAAAGTTTTTACGTTCACGAAATAGGTGTATAAGTTGTAAAAAGCAGTATTTATGAGCTCCTAATCCAACACATTAAGGTCGAAAATAACGTCGAGGCGTTGATACATATCACAAGACCAATACGCATGCATTAGTTAGTTTTTATTAGGTAACAATTCTTGCAGTTGCAATGTAGGTAAATAGTTTGCATCTTTACTTATTATAATTGAAGGAGCCCACATCGTTAGTCGTGACGTGAATATCTATTGGTTATTTAAACTACTCTCAGTACTTTTATAATTTTGATAGTTTTTCCTGAAGAGAAATGTATTTAAAAAGTTTTCCCATGTAAAACATTCCCAGTAATAGCTATAATGTATTGTCTTCCAGACAGTATACCAATATTATCAATTTTCCGTCTGGAGATAAGTACCTAATTCACCCTATTGAGATCGCATTTCAAAGGCATCGTCGGCTTCAGTAATTGGTTACAGATGAAAGGCGTAGTACAGCTTTACCTTTTCAATTACGTCAACGACTTTTAATTTTGTTTGACCTGTCGTTCAAAGGGGGAAGTATTTTTAGAACGAAACTTGAAGGTATTCATTTCGCAGTACGTGACACAAGAAGTACACAAATATTAAGAATGATTTCATTGGGTAATTAAAAATGGTACTTACAGCTTTTGCCATGTTGAATACAGCCAGAATATGGTTCTCGTTGGACAAGAAAGCGTTGGTGTCCACTGTGATGTAGTTGTGTAGGACCGGCATCATGTCGGGGAAGTAATCATAGCCTTCTTTCTCGAACACTTGGTATAGGAGCTCCAACACCTTCCACATGTCCTCGGATATGGACTTTGTGGTGAGATTGCACAGCAATGTCATGGCTTCCTCGTAATACTCTGCAATCGAAACAGATCGCTTTTCTATCGAATCTAACAAACTGGACATGTCAAAGTAGCTCTCATTATGTTTTCCAAGCTAATCCAACCATCAATTAATTATCCATAGACAGGTTTAAGATTTTAACTTTACTTTCAGTATTTTATTGATTATTGTATGTTGTATTCTGGTACATATTACCGAATTGCACGCGAGTGAAGGAAAATATAGAATACTAGCTTTCCGCCCGCGGCTTCGCGCGCGTGGGCTACATTATCTACATATTTTACGGAACCCTTTTTTTTTTTCAAAACAAAAATTTAGCCTATGTTACTCGTGAATAATGTAGCTTTCGAATGGTGAAAGAATTTTTAAAAACGGTCCAGTAGTTTTTGAGCCTATTCATTACAACCAAACAAACAAACAAAGTTTTCCTCTTTATAATATTAGTGTAGACAAAAAGAAATAAACCCCCACTTACCAATTATGTTGTGGTGAAGAATATGGCCCACTACGCGCAGAACCGTCTTCTCCAGCTGCGCCATAATCTCAGGGTTATCTTCCATGACATTCAATACAGTCTCCATGGTGTTAAGCAGTCCCATGGCTGTGATAGCTTTCTCATCGGTGCCAGAATCAGTCTCAATTACCTTGCTGAAGGTCGTAGCCAGGTGATCGGTGATTTCAAATGCCATCGGCATCAACTGTTCAGTGTACAACGGGACAATCTTCTGCAAAACATTAGCTATGTTGTCGTTCTCTGTCTCGCGTATCACTTTCAGCAGCTCCGTTGTAACCGCCTTCACTTGGGGCTCCAAGATCTGGTGAACCTTCTCCTGCGATGTCAAGAGCATTTGAAGAGCGATCGCTGCCTCCACTTTTACTGGTAGTTCGATATCGTTTAGCAATGCATTTACAGTAAGATTGACAGCCTCCATCAAAACCATTTCGGACTTGAAGCGAATGCTGGCGAAGCAGTGCAGCACCCAGCAGGCTCTGGCTCGCATGTAGCCGAGCGGGCTATGGAATTCCGGTATAACGAATTGATTCAGAAGGGGGTCTATCTCCTCGTTGTAGAACTTCTTCCTAATGAGAACGTCTATAAGTGTCCCGATCATGTGTAGAGCGCCGTCGCGCTGCCTGGGTCCGTATTCGCCGTTCTGGCTTCTGAGCACTTGCAGGCAAAGATGCATTGTGCGCTCGAGCATATCCTTGCGCTTCTTGCAGCAAGATATGAGCAGCGTCTGCGCAGCCGTCACGGGAGATACGAAGTCCTCGAATATGTCTACGGAAGGAACGATTTCAATGAACAACTGCGACTTTCAGCTGCTGAAATGCAACTGATGGTTGGCCCTGCATATGGATGCTTTATAAATGCAATGCAATGGAAAAATCTAGTACGTCATTTCCGTCTGTGAATATCAATTGATTTGTCTTGCAAATTGAGATGAATAAATGTACGAGTGAGTGTATAATGCATCGAGGTGCGATGCAGTTGTGTATGCACTTACCGAACTTGATCCGTATGTATTCGTGGGGGTCTGTGTTCCAGAGGACCTCGTCCTGTTCGGAGTAGGACATCAGGGGGAACAGCACATCTTGCACTATGGCGAACATGTGGGGCTTCAGCAGCTTCCAGGAGTGCGCGTGGCTAACACTAATAAACAAATAAACAAAATCTAAAGCCTGGTCCGTGAGCACGTAGAATTTTGTCCAATGACCCCAAGCTACCCATCCTTATCGCTCGCGCGTAATTATATTGCTGTCGCGACTGTGCGACGGGCGCCCGCAGTGAGTGTGCGAGCGCGATTATGGACTAGGCTTTAGTCTATAATGCGAAAGAGACGTAGACTAAAAGCTTAACTAACGTACCACGTTCACGTAACATATTCAACAAGTTGTTTGTTTGGAGGATAGGTAGGTACATCAAGAAAAATATTATGTTACAAAATATTTATTTTTGTATTCATCAGCGTATCTAATCAATTTTGAAAGTATCAATAGAGTGTAATGTATTTCTTCAGGTACCTTGTGATCATGTGAAACGTTTATTTTAGTCCACGATATTTCTTAAGGTGTGTATTGACGGGAAGCATTCGCACGTGACTTGCTGATTGCCTTTATTCCAGACACAATAGAAAGTCAATCTGGTGTCGGTCTAGACACAATAAAAATATCGAATTAATATTGGCGAGGTCATCTTCACGACCGTTTTGTCCCATTGTCAAAACTTTTACTCGATGTATTCACGTGCGACGAGTGTTCTCACTTTGTAACGTGCACGGGCAGGTAACAATTGCATACGCTCAGGGCTCATAGTAGCATTCACTCAACGTCTGCATTAATACGTTATACATTTACCCCTCGCAAAGTAAAAGGGGCTTTGTCCATTATTTAAAACGCGTTAATTTAGTTACGATTGCATTCAGTCTAGTATTAAAAGGGATGGTATCACAGGGTTCGGGTCAGGCTGGTCGATCAACCCCTCCTCAGCTGTAACTAGATAACCCGACGCAAGGTTATCGAGTATCGCGAAATACGCCATGATACACTGAGAGTGTACAATACACTTTGTATCCTTCTAGGAAACCAGTATTATTAGGGTAATCTTCAAATACGACTAACGACTTCATACAGTAAAATCAAGAAATATTAATACTGATTTAATTTTATAGCCCCTCTTAATTAAATACGAAATAGTGATTACAACTGTATTTTAGGTTTGTAGAAATATTACAGCTACTATGTGGGAGTAGTTCTTATTTCTCTAAATACCTGACATTGACAAAATTACTGCATGGCGCTCAAAGCGCTTCAGCGGGATAGTCCATTAAAATAAAATAAAACAATATAGAAATTCGTAAGTGCGTTTTCATCTGTATAAAAATGTAGGTAACAAAATCATTATTAAAATCAATTCGAATTTGAGTGACCGAAGTTTAGATTATGCAGTCGTATTTTTGATTCCAAAACCAGTAAGCCAGAACTGAGAGCAGGAGCTTGTATAATAAAAAAACTTATATGACGTAAGGACCTGCATTTAATTATCACAATTTGAAGAGTCAATGACGTCACTGTCTACATCACACAGTCAATCGGAGGTTCAGGTGCTGTCAAGTTGTTAGTCTACTGTTTCAAAGCACACAAACTAATGGATAAAAACTGAAAATTTAAGTAAACTTTTAGCGTCTCTCAAATGAAAACCATCAAACAACTGTGGTCGCTGTACACATCTTCACACTGAACACTCGGATGATATTGTTTATACACAGAATAATGAATGATTGGCCGTGTTGCATTATGTAACAATGAGTCTCCTAGGGGAGGGCAGGAAAGCTAATGTAATATTTATGACTTTGTAAATCGGTCTTCTTTGGATTTTTATTTCATGTAATAATAGCATATTTTTTTCATGATAGTAATAAACTAACAGGACTAATTTTTTAGGAATTTGGAGACTTAACCAGGACAAAACTCGGCACTTAACTGTGTGCCAATTGATTTCGTAATTTTTGAAGGATGTTTAATGTGAAACTTGTGATTTTTCCATTCATTAACCATCTTGCTGCTTCAGCTGTCACAACAACCACAGATTCATAACACAGCAGTCATATAACTGGACAATATAGCACTTAAGACTTACCATTGGTCAATGTATCTGATGGTTTGCTGCAGCACTCTAGGTGACACGTAAATCTTGTTTCGATATTGGTCTAATATTCTGAGCAGCACTTCAAGGATGCCACCCGTGAACGTGGTAAGATACCACTCGGCAAACTGGACATACTCCTCGCGGGCGTTCACTGGGCTTCCATATCTGATAACAATAACATTTCATGTGAAATTTTCTTAATATTTTGGAAAACAAAGGGCAGAAATCATAGGGCTAATAACATTCAATAAGGATCAGCAAGCTGAAGTGGCAATGTGCAGGTCATATAGTACGCTGAACTAGCAGCCAATGGGAAAAGGATGGATGCAGGTGCTACCAACCCGCCTTTGTGGAAACCATTGCGGGAGGCCTGTATTCAGCAGTGGAGGTCCTGTGGCTGAAATGATGATAAGTGAAATTCAAGTTATTACCTTTCGAAGAGTCTGTAGAGCGTATGGACAGCCCACTTCTTGCATTTCCACCATGGGAGCTCCATGCGTTCATCTTCCTCCACTTGCAGGGTGTGTTCTGGAACCGGCTGTTCCATGACTGACCGGAGGACTTCCATCCATTTTGTGAAGATTTCCTTGGTGATCAAATCTAATGGTAAAATGTACTGTGAACAAACAAGCAACATTATTGTGTGAAAAATCATGTCTCTGATTTTGTTCATCTTTTAAGCTATTGGGTTATCAAAGAATTATAAATAGGTCATAAAACACTTGTTTTACTCACTTTGATGAGGCCATAAAAGCACTTGAGTATTTGCTTTTGGATGAGCACCGACTCCACTGACTGGTCTGTTTGGAGATTCACAATCAAATTGTACATCATTGGTAGCAACAAATTCATAGCTTCTATTAGCGGCACCCTTTTCTCAGCAAGGAAAAATTCATAATTCTTGATCAGTTGGTACAGACACAATAAAGCTCCCATCCAGCTATTCGGTTCTGGGTTTTGTAAATAAATGTGAATTTTGTCTACAACCTGCGTCCATCTTGCAGGGAAGTCGTGTTTGATGATTGTTTTTAAACATACGCACAACTGCACTCGGATTATGTCAGGAGCCTGTACGATTGCGTCTACAATTATATCCCTAATCATTGCACGATCTTGCTCGTGGATGCTGAAGGGAATGGGTTCCCCTTCCTCCGGCTCTTTCTCCTGCCATCCCGATGTTATTAAATTCTTAAGATAGACAACACCAGCTTGACGCACTGGAATCTGGACATCATTAAGCATCACAACTTGCAGAAGTGATGGGGCAAACCCAATTATTTTGTGTATCTGAAACAATATTATTCTATATTTAGAGACCAGTCGGACACTACTCTGCTGCGTCATTGAATGAAACTCCACCTCAGATAAATGTATCAATTATTTTATTTTTTATGCTACCTACACAGTAACCTATGTTTTACTAACACTATGGAACCTGATAATTTTCTGAAATAAATATTTGACTATGAATATACAATATTTTGCTAGGCCGGTACACCCCAGACATTTGCAACAATCTCTCAGTTGTGTGAGCCAATTTAATATTATTTGTGATAAATATAAAAGCTTAATATAAAATTATACTACATTGGTACACTAGCTAGGTATAAAAGAACAGGTCTAATCATCAAGTTTGGTTAGTTTTGTTCTCATTAAGGCATGTCCGGTTGAGTTCTTTCTTTTATAGGTTAGATACGTGGGTAAAAATAGATGTTTCCTACGTAGTGTCGAGGATTGTCTAAGGAAAAAAAAACAAATATTTCGCATCTTAAGCGAAAAACATGCTCGAAGAAAGTCACACCAGCGCGGCATGTTATTACGCGGCGTGTTACAGACACCAGAAACACAATGAAATCTCGTACATTTCATTGTGCCATGCAATTTGGCAGCTTTATAAAATTCCAAAGCATGTGGATGATGATGGTGTACCTGCGAAAGCTGCTCCTCGGCCTGCTGCCTCTGGTTAGGGTCGATGGTAGCGCGCAAAATTTCGGTTAACTTTCTTGTGTCCATTTTTAAGAAATTAACATTAAAAATATAAATTAAATACTTTTAATACAACGGGGGGCACAAGCCGCCGCCGGGCGTGGGTGGAAGTAAAAAAGACAAATTGTCTGTGGTAGAAATGTCACGTGACTTGTAATAATTTTTGTTAAGGTTCCTCCACACAGCCTACTTCAAAATATATTAGTATAGTTCCAAAATACTGAACTGTCCTATGCATGACATTGACAGTGGGGCGCCACCGTCAATACCGGATCGCTGGTTTCGATTTTTGCCATGTTGGAAACCATTTAGTTGAACGATGGTAGCGCCCCCCTGTCATTGAGTTTGGTGGGACAGTTCAGCGTGGGTCATCTACAGTGTGAGTCACGTTAAATTGTACATATGAAAATAGATGAAACTTGACCTATTTTTATCGACAAAAAAGAGGTCAAAATTTTTTTGAGATTTTTTTTTAATTTTTTATAGAATTTTTTTTCTTCCAATTACTTATTGTAAAGAAAACGTAATAACTTTTAAACTAAGCGGTATATCCTGATAAAATAAAAACAGTAATAATGCTTAATAACAGGCAATACTAAAAAAATACATAAAATACACAAAAAAGGCCAACAAATAATAAAAAAAACCAACAATACATAGTTTTTTTTGTGTATATTAATATGAGTCATCTTATATTGTTAATCACAAACTCAATCTGAACAACTTCCATAGTGTAAAAAGTAGTAACACGAGTCATACCTCTTGACTCAATAAAAAAGTGAAAGAAGCCTCCGGTACACTTTGTTAAAAGTAGACATGTATCAATATACACGAAAGAAAACTCAAAATTGGTTCACAAAGCCTTACTTGTATCATTTGGCACAAAGTTATTTTCTTTTCTATACGTCGTAGAAACATACCGATTAGATACAAAAATAGCTAATTTTTCAGAGATTCACATTATGTTATAAAGTCAATTTTGATCTAAGTCGAGTTAGATCCCTTTTCACTGGGGGTACAGAATTTTACTGTTGTAATAAATCTGGGGCCTGGAAACATAAATAAAAACTGGCCCAAGATACAAATACGATAAAAAGGGGTATATGAGTAGGACCATTCATACCACTCGTCTTTTATTAAATTCAGATGTTACGTAGATCTGAGTCTTTGTGATGATTGAATTGCCATCGATTACTAATAAATAAAATAAGTCGTCGGTCCACCTTATGGGTGCACCTTAGCAGGAGAGCGCTGGATGCAGGCCGCTACCTAACCGGTCGATGTGCAAGTCATTGGGGGAGGCCGCAAACCTGTGGCTGAAATGGTGTTGGTGATGATGATGATGACTAAAATAGGAATCAATGGTCTGTATGTGGATATCGATTGTTTTGAGCGACTATGGACTGACTGATGGTTACAGGGCTATGGGTGGAGACTACGGTCACCTGCCTGGTTCACAGTCTCGGACTGAAAAAATGGTAGGCGGTGACTAGCCAGCGACTAAATAGGCCTCCCCTGGCGTCATGAGTCGTATAGACCGAACTGAGGGGCAACTATTGTATTAACTGTGTATATTGGAAAAGCCTTTGTCATTTGGCTGAAAAGGACATTAATTTAGTCCGTAATTTTGTATAGGTTTTTAGTCAAATGTGAGGCTACTATACCTACCCATGTTGTGACATACAAGCAATAACCGTGCATGTCTGGCGACGGGCCAGGCCGCAGGCTCGATGCTCGACTCGTATTTCACGATTTTGTTTTAGGGTCTCCATTTGCATTTGGCTCGGGATGCTTCTTTACTGCTACACGATGTTTTGGTTGGCTTGGATTACAGAGGTTTGCGGGTTTTTACAGTTTTTGCAGTGTCGGCTTTCTTTTAGATGTTTTGATATTTCTATTTGAGTAGAATATTGCTTTGAAGAGTCTTGTTTGATCGATTAGGTTAAAGACTTCTTATTTTACTGACAATTTAATTTACTTTTGGATACTTTTGACCCTTCAAGTACCCGTGAATCGAGACAATAGAAATTAATTGCAACCGCGGTCTCATGCAATCGCTTAGGGTTTGTTTGGTTAAAGGAAGTATGTACACACGTGTTAAGGACTAAAAATGTATAATAACGAATGTTGTTACTCCATATCCATAAATTCCAACTGCCTAACGGGATGAGCAAACAGAAGCCAGATAAAGTTTATCTTCCGGAGCTCGCTCTGATAGTTCGATAGCTATTCGCGGAACTTCGCAGAATTTCGCAGACTTCGCATAATGGATTTTTAGTCTGGAGTTTCTGGATAAAAAGAGGGTGAAATATTGAGGTTTTTTGTTGAGAATAGAGAATGTATAGTGACTTGAATGTTTCTAACGGTTTATATTATTTGATAACCAAGTAACTAAAGTCACTGTTTATCAAAAGACTGTAGAATTGACCCCTTTCTTGGCGTTAGGATCTGTTTGATTTCTGGGCGATACAAAAGTGGAATTTAAGTTCACAATGTGAACTACTTACCCGTACTTGTTCCTTTTTGTTTTAAGTAGATACTTCTTAAGGACGTAGGCGTAGGACGTCCTCCCATAAGGTGGACCGACGACCTTATAAAGGTTGCTGGAAGGCGCTGGATGCAAGCCGCTACCAACCGGCCATTGGAGAAATCATTGGGGTAAGCCTATGTTTAGCAGTGGACGTCCTATGGTTGAAAATGATGATGATGATGAAATACTTCTTTCAGATCTATTGATCATCATTGATCAGTGATATGTCTAAAAATTAATATGATTATGTGAGTTGGATGCCTCTGAAGTATGAGGAATAATAAGACTCAGTAATTAAAATTGCCATAGAACCATAACTTTTATTTCTTTAATTTTCTGCTGCTGATACACACCTTTTTTTGCTGACGGTTAATTTGTTTTGAGCATTCGAAACTTCTGCAAAGGATCTAACAATTAGAAAACAGGAAAAATACGTGAGCCCAATACAAACAGTTTCTGGAGTTGATTATCGGATTCGACGGTCTTGCTGCCTTAATCTTAAGGTTCAGATTGCGCTCGTTTTCGAGGTTAATTAATTTATGTAGCTAATTCTTAATTACACCGAAACTCGCTGTGAAGGTATAATTACTGAATTTAAAGGAAACGACTTTTAGTTCGTTTTACTCTGGACTTGGTCACTTACTTTGTGTAATTACATAGACGTTAATGTTTTGTAAAAAGTAGGTAAGTAGTATAGTGATTTCTGATAGGGCAGAAAAGTCCTCGAGTGGAGACCTCGAACCGGAAAACTTAGTGTAGAGCAAGCCGCTCGATGGACTGACGATTGGTGAAGGTCACGGGAAGTACCTGGAATACCTGGATGAGGGCAGCGTAGGACCTTTGATTGTAGAAATCCTTGGGGGATGTATGTGACTATGTCCAGCAATGGACAACATTAGTCCGAAAGTTATTAGACGAAACGGCGCAGTGTAAAAAATTACCAAAGATGTTTAATAATATTTTTTGCTTGTCGTTCAAGTTCGCGTTTTTCACATTTTTTCTCTAAGAAAATCAAAGAATCCCAAACAACTTAGTTCCAATCGGGCGTCTCTCGGGGGTAGTTGTTTGTAGCAACAAAGCAACAGCTGTAATTAGCTCCCAGACGCTTCAACTTCAATTAACTTGGCTACAATTACGATTTGTGATCGCTGAAAAGGAACGGTCTTTTGGGACGTTACAAAATAAAAAAGGTAAATTTTTCACCGTAGACAATACACTTCTTGAATATTTAAAAAGGGCAATTTACTTGTTTTCAGTTTGGAGAGGACATTGCATTCTAGAATCAACCTGATCGTTCGAATAGAAATATCGTTGATACTTCGTTTAAGTAAATTAAATAATTTGAGGAAATTAGCGACAAAAACTTCATTGAAACCAAGTGTATCGCATGTACTTTACACACAAGATAATATCTGATCAATCAATTAAGTAACTGGAAATAGAAATTGCATTTTATTTAGTAAGGGACGGGTCTTATTAACGCGACGTTTATTAATGAGTTACATTATGTACTCACGGATTGACGTTTCGTCTGCTATGCTGCAGCCGTGGTCACAAGCAGACTGTGTCTTGCTAATTTAGTTGAAATGGAACACGAAAGTTTAAAATCTTGTATTGCATTTTATATGTCACAAACTAATTATTGTACCTATGACATAATCCATGCGGTGTCCTTTTAGCGAATAAATAGCTAAATTACATAATTTAAACCGTTAATTATCATAGTTACCTAACGATTTCGCTAACAATTCTTGAACTAATTTTGTAACTTAATCCATTATAATTAACAATGTTAAACCCAGCTATTCTTAGAATTAATCCTACACATCATGAGTATGTCGTAGAATTGAAAGGGGACTATACCTGTCTCCTCGACTACCCGGGCCCAGCTGGTGTCCGCACCGTCAGCATAAAAAGTAACAGCTTTTATGAACCCTTGTGTGCTGTCCGTACGAGCCTAATCATGTTCAGTATACCTATTTAACTGACCGTACTTTTTCCAAAGTGTAGCGAGTGCTTTTAAATATAAAAGCGAAAGGTCACTGATCACTGACTCACTCATCACGAAATTAAGAAACTACAAGTGCTAGAAGTCTCAAATTTTGCATGGGGCGTCCTTTTAGAACAGGGGTGGCCACACTTTTGACCTGTGAGGTCTACTTATGCTCGAAAATATTTCTTGCGGTCGACTGCAAGGCACAGTTTAGAAGCGGCTTTTACCCGTGGTCCCCCCAACATGTCCCCCGGGTAAAAAATTTACCCGTGGACCCACCAGGGGGACATGTTGGGGGGACCACGGGTAAAAGCCGTTTCAAAGAGTGAAATAAAACATTTTTAATTTTCAATCATTCTGTTCAGTTTATTTAACTCTCGCGGGCTACCAAAATGGTCTTCGCGGTTGACCTCTTGGTCAACACTGTTTTAGAACGTAGGTGCTCACTAAGACAGGGTTTTGCAAAATTCAACCCCTGAGGAGGTAAAACGGTAACCAAACGAAGTGGCGGGCGGCCGCTAGTTAATATAGGTACTAAATGTAATTAATTAACTTGATGGATGATTAAGCTAATTAAACAATAAGTAGGTACGGTAAAGTCA